TAATTGGGTAATCTCATACATACTCATGATTTTAACTATCATCTATTGTTGTTACTAATGACTGCTAAATTGCTATATGTATTCCAGGTGTCTCTTCCAAATTACAGACCCATACTCAGATTGAGTATAACCTCGTATACTTATAAGCACTCTCATTTCCACCTGGATGTCTTACAGATACCTCACATTCAAGTTATTAAGAAATAAATAATATATTTTCCTTCTAAGCAAACAAAAACAACCCCTGCTTTCTCCATTTTTCTTCTTTGTCACTGGTACCAGTATCCAGGAGCTTAAGCCAAACATTTGTTATCCTTAACTCCACCATCTTCCTTATCACCTAAACATTTGTTCATTTATTATATCCTATGAATTATCCCTTAACATCTCTCAGACCTATCTAATTCTCCCCATCCTCATGTTCTACCACCTGTGTTAAAGTTATTATCATCACTTGTACAGATTACTAAAATCTTCTAACTGGTTTCCCTACTGCCAAAGTATCCTTTATCTCCTTTTAGAAATTTATTTATAGTTAGTACCTGGATCACCATCTTCCTTTCCATCCCAATCTTCTCTGTTTTTCTGAATGACTTCAAAGTCTATATGGATGACTCATCAAACACTATATCCTATCAGTCCCATGAACTCAATCCTAGTGTCATTTACCTCCACTTTACTTTAGCCTTTGGTCTAACTCAAGGCCTTAACACCTGATATTATTCTCCCCAAGTCTTATAATTAAACCACACTCACTGTTTCCACTCCCACATCTCCCAATTATATTTTTTAAGGTTATCTTTAAAAAAATGTTTAAAATTTTCATTACAGTTGACATCTAATATTATATTATATTATGTTAGTTTCAGTTGTACAGCACACCACCCTCCAATCTGGCAACCATCAGTTTGTTCTCTGCTTCTATAAGTCTGTTTATTTGTTTGCTTGTTTATTTTGTTCTTTAGACTCTACATATAAGTGAAATTAGATGGTATTTGTCTTCCTCTGTCAGATTTATTTCACTTAGCATAATACGCTCCAGGTCCATCCATGTCATCACAAATGGTGAGGTTTCATTCTTCTGGTTATTTATTTAAAGAAATAAAAAACAGTACTTGACAAGATATATGCAGCCCTATGTTCCTTGCAGCATTATTTACAGTGACCAAGATATGGAAGCAATGTAAGTGCCTATCAATAGATGATTGGATAAAGAAGATGTAGAACATATACATCTCAGCCATAAAATTTTATGCAATATTACTCAGCCATAAAAAAAGAATGAAATCTTACCCAACCACTCTTTAGTCCATTCTGATCTGGCTTCTATTAAAAACTCCAGCCACACCACTATTGCTATATCCAATGAGAAATTTCTGTTCTGATCTTATTTAACTTCTCTGAAGCAGCTGAAACTATTGACCTGTTAATTCTTGAAATGATCTGCTTATTAACATTTGGAAGAATCAACATAGTTAAAATGTCCATATTACTCAAAGCAATATGTAGATTTCATGCAATTCCCATCAAAATCCCTATGACATCTTTAAAAAGAAATATACAATAATAATCAGTTTGGCCCTGGCTGGGTTGCTCAGTTGGTTGGAGCGCCATCCTGTACTCCAAAAGGTTTTGGGTTTGATCCCCTGTCAGGGCACCTACCTAGGTTTTGGGTTTGATCCCAAGTCGAGGGGTGAGGGAGGTGTATGGGGACAATCAATCAATGTTTCTCTCTCACATTGATGTTTCTCTCTCTTTCACTCCCCCTTTCTCACTAAAAAACATATCCTTGGGCATGAATATAAAATAAATAATCAGTTTTTATGGAACCACAAAAGACCTCAAATAGCCAAAACAATCCTGAGGAAAAAACAAAACAAAAACAAAGCCAGAGGTATTATGCTCCCTGACTTCAAATTATAGTACAAAGCAATAATAATCAAAACTGCATGGTATTGACACACAAAAAAGACACACCGACTAATGGAACAGAACTGAGAACCCAGAAACAAACCCACATGTATATGGGCAAATCATTTTCAACAAAAGAGTCAAAAACATACAATGGAGAAAAGAAAGCTTCTTCAGTAAATGATACTAGAAAAATTGGGAAGCCACCCGCAAAAGAATGAAACTATACTATAGTTTGTTCTCATATACAAAACTTACTAAAAAAATGAATCAAAAACTTAAATATAAGACCTGAAACAGTAAATTACATAGAAGAAACCATAGGTACTAAACTTATGGACCTACATCTTATAGAGGATTTTATGAATTTGACCCCAAAGGCAAGGGGAATAAAGGCACAAATAAATGAATGAGACTCTATCAAACTAACAAAGCTTCTGCACACCAAGGGAAAATGCCAACAAAACAAAAAGACAACCAACTAAATTGGAGGAGATATTTGCAAACAACAACTCTAACAAGGAGTTAATATCCAAAATATATAAAAAACACATACAACTCAAAACCAAACAAATAAACAATCCAATTAAAAAATGTGCAGAGAATCTGAACAAACACTTCCCCCAAGATGACATATAAATAGCCAACAGATATATGAAATGATGCTCAACTTCAGTAGCTTTTAGAAAAATAGCTGGTGGGAATGTAAACTGGTACAGGCACTATGGAAAACAGTATAGAGGCTCCTCAAAAAATTAAGAATAGAGTTATCATATGGCCCAGCAACCCATCTTCTGGGTATCTACCTGAAAATTTTGAAAACATTTATTTACAAAGATATATACAATCCTATGTTCACTGTAGCATTATTCACGGTGGCCAAAACATGGAAATAAGTAGTGTCCTTCGCTAGATGATTGGATAAAGGAGATGTGATACATATATACCATGGACTACTACTCAACCAAAAGAAAGATGAAATACTGCCATTTGCAATAACATAGATGAATCTTAATGATATGCTAAGCAAAATAATTCAGACAGAAAAAGTTAAGAACCATATTATTTTACTCATATGTGGGATATAAAACTGAAAGCAAAAAATGAGCAAACAAGGGGGAGAAAATCTCATAGACACAGACAGCATTATGGTAGTTACCAGAGGGAAAAGGGGTAAGGAAGTAGTAAAGGGTGAAGAGTATTAAATCTATAGTGACAGAAAAAGACTTGACTTCGGGTGGTGGGCACACTGCAGTATACAGATCACGTATCATAGAAATCTACACTTGAAACCTATATAATTTACTAACCAATGTCAGTCCAACAAATTTAATTTAAAATTAAATAAATAAATAAATAAATAAACAAATAAATAAATAAATACATAAACCATGATTTTTCTACTGAACTGAAATTTTCCTTTTATGTAATAAGCAAACATTTACTTAGAAATTAAAATAAAAATTCTGATATCATTTTCTCCTGGTTTTATTTCTAACAGCTTGCTTGCTTTTTCTCAGGCTTACATTTTAATGAGTACATTCCCATAAAAATTAGTCTTCCTCAGGTTGCTATCCTAGGATTCTTACTGTCTCATTCAATATACTCTTCCAGGGTGATGGTGTTAATTTCTTTGCCTTCAGTTACTACTTAAATGTCGATGCCTCTCACATAACTCCTTTAGATCATACCTTTCTCCTGAGCTCCAGCGCTTTATGTTTTTTTAGACATCTCAAAGCAACAAACTCAAAAGTAAACTCATTATCATCCAATCTCCTCCATTTAACTCATGTTTCCTACCTACTCCCAGGTACCCTATCTTGATGAATAGTATCAGTATCTACTTGGCTGTCCAAGCCAAAAACCTGGGTACCACTTCAGAATTTTCCTCCAAAAACATGGATTTTATTAAAGAATCCTTCTCTTTCTCACCTTTAATATCCAATTAATCACCAAATCTTACTTAATCTACCTCATTGGTCTTTTTAGAACCTATCCCCTCTCCTCAGCTCAAATGGTCATCTTTCTTATGACTGGGTCTTTACATATTGCATTCCCTACATCTGGAACTTCATTTTTCCTGCTTTTCTTCCACACTGTTAACTGTATGCTTCTTCCTCAACCTTTAGATCAGTGATTCTCAAAGTATAAGTTCCTGATCCAACTAAATCAAAATCACTTGGAAATTTGTTTGAAATAGCAAATTCTTGAGCCCCATCTCACACTTACGGAATAAGAACCTCTGGGAGTTGATCCCAGAAATCTGTTGTTTAACAAGCCTTCCAGGTGATTCTGATGCATGCTAAAATTTGAGAACTAATAATTTAGATCTCATCTGAGATATCACCTACTCTGGGAAGCCACTTTTGACCATTCAAACATTATATCAGGTACCCTCTTTTACACCTCCATGACACACTTTTAAAAAATCCCTATTTAATACTTAAAACACTGCATTATAATTACCAGTTTACTTTCTCTGTGTTAATAGCCTGAATTTTTTAAAAGTAGGAACAAGTATAATTTCCCTCTGTAGTCATACCTTCTACAATTGTTCCTGCACCCAGTAGGCTTCCAGTAAGTATTTATTCAATGAATGAATGAATAAGTGGAATAAAATGTGGCCAAGATTCTGGTTATCCTACATTTAGTATCAAGAGCTTAGTATGTGACTGGGGTTAGGATTCAGTTTTTATTAAGGGGACAAGAACTTTACCTATGGCTTTGGTTAAGGATTAATTTGTGATCTGAGACAGTTAACTACCCAAGAATAGAAGCTCATAGTATGGACAAGCTGAAGTTCAGATCTAGAGAAGGTTAGAAGCCCAATCTGCATTCAGAATTAAGGCTAGTATAAGTCTCCACATGTAACCAGTGTTAACGGTAACTTCAATGAAACAAAAAACCTAAGGTAGCCTGTACTAAGACTGAAAGAATGATTATTTCATAAAGCCAAACTCAGGCTACGGTTTAGTCTTGGCTAATACTTATTTTTCAGTTCTCTAAGAGCATATTTTTAAAAGGAGCAAGACAGAGGCCTGAAGAAGTGCTGCACATTCTTTTTTTGTTCACTAAGTGTTCCCACTCACCAGGCTCAGCAGCTAGTGGCCAGCCAGTACTAGATTCTAGCACTCCATGGGCATACACAGAGTAGGGGCGGCTTGCGTTATTCTTGAACACAACAGTGAGGATGTCACCAACCTCTCCTCTGAGAAGTGGACCTAATATATTAAAAAGAAGGAAAATCTCATTAGTGGAGTAGTGGAACAGGGACATTAAAGGCAGTTAAAGAAAGGGACATACAGTACATAGGAGCTCCCCAGAATTAGGATTTTTCCCTAAAAAAAAGGATCCTTCTGAGACTGAAAGCCATGACTGCTGGCTTCATTTTTTTAATTCAGAAGCCCTTACACTGATGCTGCTATCCACAGGATGAGAGTACTTCATCAATAGGGTTATGCTTCCAATTACCCCCACTTTTCCCACCCCAACTCTCTCTAAATAATACTCCAAGTTTTTAGAGAATTAGGGCTCTGTGTAATAATTGTTAATTAGGAGTGAGAGTTTGATGTAGAGTACAGAATTGCTGGGCTCTCTTAAAGGGACAGTGGATCCCTTCTGTGCAAGAACAAGAATGAGGAAACCCAGTGGCCCCCACAGAAGTGAAGAAACTGCAGCAATAATTAAACCAGGGCACAAGACTAATACTGGTTTCCTGTACCATTTTTTCCTACTCTTTGATGTCCTACATTCCCCTGCCTTTAGCATAAAATAAAAAAATCTATCACCTTCAAAGATCTCTAAATATAGAGACCTGAAAAAACCTGGTTCAGGTTGCAGCAGAAATTCATGAATTCCCTCCTTTGATTGCTTGTTTTCATGGTTGATTTATAAAATATGACTATAGTTCTAGTACAGCATAAGGAAAAACTGATAATGGGGAATGGGAGGCCTTCCCCACGTGACATAGCCCCTCTAGGAACAGCACAGTCTTCCAGACACTAGGAGAAAGGTGGAATTCTCTTACCTAAGATTCCCAAGTGCTCTTCTGGTCCAATCCTTGGCTTGGGGATCCTGAATGTACCATCAGTGTACTCCCTAAATACAGCTTTCTTGTATCTGGAACCCAGTAGCCCATCCTTGTTGCTCAGAAAGATGTGACCATAACTAGAGGAATCCAAAGAATGGTATCAGCACCTGGCCCTCAATCCCTCAACCCCATAGGAAAGCTAGGTCAGACCCAAGTTCATGTCACAGATAGAAGGGAATCCATTTTTTCTAATGTCAGATTCCTCACCACATTGGCTGCATACATGCAATTATAGATCATAGACTTCAATATCTATTTATGTTCTCTTGTTTGCCATCATCCAGATAGGAATTTGTAGTAAAATTTATATGACAAGAACACTGGGATAACAATCAGAAGCTTCGATCTCTAGTTCTAGGCTTGATGATGTCTTAGGTGGAATTCATTTAGCAGGAAAGTACTAACTGCTTCTGCTGCTGGAGAGTAAGGGATGAGAAGTAGAAATCGGAGAGATTTCTCCTTACAATGCTTTCCTGTTTACAAAGATATTTATTATTTATTTTATCATTTGACATTACCAATAGGCTAATGAGATATGTATGTTCAGAGGTGGATTCAGTGGTCCAGAGGTGATAGAATTGATACTGTCAGCCAGACAGGAAACCAGAACTTGGATTCGAGTTTGCTGCTCCTTCCCTACCTCCTTCCAGTCAAGTTCTTTCAAGTATACCACATCACTTTAAATATAAGTAAACCAAGGCTCAGGGAAAAAAAGTCACTTTTTTTTAGGTTGTAGAACAAGTTAGCAAATAGGTTTAAACCTTTAATAAGCAACATAATAAGCAATAATTGGCAAGGGGTAGAAAGAGTATCAAAAATAAACTGTATTGGAAATTGCTAAACTGTACCCCCATTTCTATTCTTCCCTCCTTCCTTTATAGTAATAGAATCACCTAGATTTTAGCTGAGCACATAGTTGCCAAACCAGAGATTACACTTCTCAAACTTTCTTGCAGCTGGGTATGGTCATATAAATAAGTTCAGAATAATGGAGTATGAGAAAAAGTGATGTACACAACGTCCAAGTCATCGCCTTATAGACAACGCTGCTTCCTTGGACTTCTTTCTCCTTATTTGATATCTGGGGATGATTATAACTGGAACAGGCATCTTAATTCCAGATATGAAAGCATGTGTTATATGTGACTAGTTCATCTACTGGCTCTGGACTGCTCATTATTATACTCTTGTGTATGTAAGAAATAAAATTCTAACTTATTTAAGCCACTCTATTTTTTTTCTACAAGATAGCTTAGCTTGTACCTTAATGACATTTTGTCAAGGAACAGCTTAACTCGGGGTATTCAGTTCTTTGAGTAAGTTCTCTATAAAATTTAAGTCCCAGTAGAGGTGCTTCTGGCTAACCAGAAAAAAGGACACGAAGATTAAAAACACGAGGGTGTGGGTAAGATCTTTTACTTCAGTGCCACAGTATAGCAATATAGAAGAAACAAATGAGTTCTACTTTACCTGCATTTTAGTCCTTGCACCAGATTTTTTGGTATGTTATTAGGTGACATTAAATAAGTGTTTCCTTCCTTCAGAATTTCAGTATCCTTTTTATCTGTAAAATGGTCCAGGGTCTCTAAAGTGTGACTTCTTTTCTGAAGACTTACCTGTCCTTCTCAGACTGGTTGTGCCATTCCAGTTCCCAGCTCCTGTCAGGGCAATAGTCCCACTCAACCTCTTCTGCCATGATATAGTAGGTTCTTGCAGCCTGGTAGTGTTGGCGAGGGGTGGCTTGGCGGCCAGGACACTGGGAGACATTGTAGATTGCCCTCATCCCTGCTTCTCTATGGCTGCCTGCCTGGCAGTAAATCTCAAATATCCCTGAGAAAGGAAGAAAGAGCAAAACCTGAATCAGAATACCACTGTGAAGTGTCTGGAGGATTCCCTGCCTCTCTTTAGGCATACTGCAGAGAATGGGTAGATTCCGATAAGATTAGCCTATGCATTATGAAAAAAAGTATTACAAGTGTATTGAGAGCAATGAGCACAGAGGTTAAGAATTCTAGCTCTGAACACTGTCTGGATTTAAAACTAAAGTCTGCCACTAGAATGACAAACTCCTCCCTATTTATCCAAGGCTTTCCAAGGTTTAGTCCTAAAAGTCTCATATCCCTGGAAACTCTTCAGTTCTTGGCAAACTAAGATGTTTGATCATTTTATCTGATACATTAGCTATATAACAATTTTTAAGCCTCTGTATGTTTCAATTCCTTTATGGCAAAATTGATATAATTTTAGTTTTTTCATTGGTTTGTTATAGGATTAGACACACCAATATGTACACATTGCTTAGCACAGTATACAGTAAGTGAAGCTATAATAAGTAAATAAAGCTGCAATCATTATCATTCCAAGAAAGGCATTGGCCAACTGGTCGTCTGCCTTTTCTACCAAATAGCAAAGAAATAAAAATGGGTTTAAATAGATATATAAAAAATGAACTTCTTGCTAAGTGAAATAAATCAGATGGAAAGGGCAAGAACCATATAATTTCATTCATATATGAGATATAAAACAAAAAGCAACAAACAAGCAAAACAAACAAATTCATAGACACAGACAATATTATGGTGGTTAGTAGAGGGGAAGGAAGATCAAGGAAAGATGAAGAGGGTAAAGGGGATCAAATATTTGGTGAGGGAGGGAGACTACACTATGGGTGGTGAGCACAGAATGGAGTATACAGATATTGTATTACAAAATTGTACATGTGAAGCTTATATAATGTAATTAACCAAGTTACACCAATAAATTTAATTAAAATAAAAAGGAACTTCTTGATCACAAGGATACCTACACCAGAGATTTGAAGTGGCTAGGTATTTATAATGAAATGTTTGATATAAGTCTTATGTGTCTGAGTTGTGGAGCTGCTTGAACCTGATTTCAAGCCCCAGGTTTCCATATCAAGGACACTAAGGCTCATAGAATGTTAATCAGAAAAAGCTAACTTTCTTAGAATATTTTTCATCATTCCCTTGTTGCCCACTGCCTATCTTACCACTGCAAACTCTTCTTCCTGACTTATAAGGGCCTCTGTGAGCTGACTTCAAACTATAAACCCAATTCCACTTCCCATTCTGTTCCAAATTCAACCAGGCCTCCAACTAAATCTATCCCTGACTTCCCCTCTCACATATCTTGTTCCTTTGTTGGAATTTTCACTTACATTGTTACACCCTTTCTGGAATATACCTACCTGTACCCTCCACAAATATCTCTGAGAGCTCACTCATTCTCTAAGACCAAATTCATCTTTCATCTCTTCCAGGAAGCCTTCCCTGGCTATTCTGGCCCACACTGACCTCTATATCATTGGCCTCTCTACTTCTAACATTCTTTACGTCTAAACCATATGGTTGAGCATTAAGTGCTCCTCTCTATTTTTTTATTTTTTTTATTTAAGTATAGTTAATATACATTATATTAGTTATATTAGTTTCAGGTGTACAATAGGGTTATTTGCCATTTTGCCATTATAATTCTATTAATCTATTAATTCTATTAATCTATCACCATGCAGACTTATCATAATATTATTAACTATATTTCCTTTCAACTTTTTCACCCTTTTTACCCATCCTCCACCATTTAGGCAATCATACCTTGGTTTCTGTTCCTGAGTCTATTTTTGTTTTGGTTGTTTTGTTTTGTTTAGATTCCACATAAATAGTCCTTTCCACTAGTTTAAAGATTCTTAAAAGAAAGAATATACTTTGTTTTTCTTTCCATATCTACTCCCAACTCTTCTATTTCCCTTACTTTCACCTCTACACATCTATTTAATCAGTAAATCAATCAGCTCTTCCATCACAATTATCTTTTCATTTTCACTCTCATTTCCCTAGTCAAAGCCACCATCACCTCTCACAAGGAATACTTCTATAGTCTCCCAATTGTCCACTCTGTTTCTTCTCCTTCCCTCTTCAACAATTGTCCACATAGGATCCAGTATCATCTTTACTAAATGTAATCCAGAGCAAATTGCTCCCTTGCTTAAAACACTTCATTCATACTCAGAATACAATCCAAATTCCTTAAACTGGTCTACAAGGCCCTACAACCCCTTGGCAAGGCTCTTGCCAACCTCTGTGACCTCATGTCATGTAAGTCTTCTCCTAACTTACTACTTTCCAAACATACTGTCCTTCTTTCTGACCCTTAAACAAGCCATGCATTTCCCCACCTTTGTACATTTGTACTTGCTGGTCTCTCCATTTGGAATGTTCTGCTCAGATATCTTCATATAGCTCCTTTCTCCTCATCATTTAACTCTTAGAGTAAGTGTTACATTCTCAAAGAGGCCTTCCCTCAACACCTTCTCTAAAGTAATAATTTTATCATACCATTGTATTTTATTTCCTTCATTACATAGATCATGATCTGAAGTTATCTTTTTATTTTATGTATGTATTTTGTGTGTTTATTGCAGATCTCCCCTCACAGTAAAGAGTATGTCTATCTTGTCACCCCTGTGCCTTAGACCTAGTACATGAATGGTGCACAATAAATGTGTTGCATGAATAAATGTTTTTGCAAATGAATGTCTATATACACTGTCCAAAAGTTATACCTGAAGAGTTGGTGTGGAGACGAAAGACTGATTATCACTGGAAGGGATGGTAGCAAACAGACGACATTCTGGGAAAGGAACGTGACCTTGGACTAACACATCATCTGAGTTTTTCATATGGACATTTTTGTCCAAGCCACTTTTGTTTTAACACTCTTCTGCCTTGGTGTCTGAGTCTCCTCCTACCTGTTTGACCCATTATTTTCTGTCTCCTTATTCTGGCTTCTCTTTTCCCTCCTACCTCTTAAATGTGTATTTTTGCCTTAAGTTTTCTTTCCTATCATTTTACATGTATATGTACTTGAACTATGAGAACACTTAAATTGCTCCTTATAGCCTGGACTTGTCCTCAAGGCTTTACATTTCTACACACAACTACCTACTGTGAAATCTACATCACCTGAATTTCACCAGGAACTTAAAACTCAGCATACCACCAAATGAGCACTTTCCACCCAAATCTTACTACCTTGTTCATTCTTGCTTCTGTATTTGCTCACTTTGTTATTGACACCACTTCTAGTGCACAAGCTAGAAACCTCAGACATCCTTTCTTCTTGTGCAGCACCACAGTAAAGTCTTGTTATCTCTTAAATATCCCTTAATTCTGCCTCTGCTTACCATCCCTATTGCTTCCACCCATCAGCAGAGCTCTCATTTCCTCTTGCAAGTGCCTTATGTTCTGCTTCCTTTTAAACCTTACTTCTCAGTATTCCTCAACACAGCAGCTATTGCAATTTTGCATGAGATTATTCTTCATTGCTTAAGACTATCCTACATATTACAGAACATTTCAGCATCTGACTCCCACTCTCCAAATGGCAGTATAACCATCTCCAAATTCCCAGTTATGTAAGAATTAAAAGTACCTCCACACACCTCCAAACACCTTTTAGCATACTACCTTGAGTTGAGAGACAATCAAATCAGTCTATGCAACATTTTCCAGGTAGACACCATTTTCAAGCCACTGCCTATATGGTTTATACTGCCTATAATGCCTTCCTCACACCCATTCACTTTCTTTGCCTGGTGACAGTTTACTCACCCTTAAAAGTTCGATTTGAATGTCTGCTTTCCCAGGAAAGCTTCACTCCACAAGTCAGGCAGGATCTGTTATAGCTTCGTGTGCATTACCATAGCTCTTGGCAGATATCATCATCATAGCTTTATGAATGTTGTTTACGTACCTATCTCCCTTTCACATGAATGTTAGCTGTCTTATTCATTCTTACATCCTTAGCATTCCAGACCAATAAGTGGAAGAAAACAGATATTTAATATGTTTTGGGAAAAATATAATTGTAATAGAAAAGGAAAATTTTAAAAAGGAAGGAAAAATGGAAAGACAAGGAGAAAGAAAATATACATATTGAAGAAAAAGAGAAAAACAAAACAGGAGGAAGGGGAAAAGAAAAGAAAAAAGAGAAAGGAAGATAAACAAAAATAAAGAAAGGGAATGAAAAAGAAGAAAAGACAAAGGTCAAGATGAGATAAAAATGGATGAAAGAAAAATTAAAAAGAAAAAAGCATACAAGAGGAAAAAAAGAACAGAGGTATAAAAAAGAGAGAAGAAAAACAAAAAGAAAGGATAAAAGAGGAAAAGGAAAAATGAGACGAGGAAAAATGAGAAATCACATTGCTCTACCCTTTTTATCTGCCATTGTTCCTGGCTATGAATGCTCTACTATCAATAGTTCTGTTGAAAGAGTTGATGTATATTATACTTTTAAATACAACATGTCACTTCTATTAAATGAAATATAAGCTTATTAAAATTTAAAGCAGAGCAAGAAGAGGATAAAAAATTACCAACAGACCCAAACAACTGAAACAATTTTTTTTAGAACATTATATTAAGTGAAATAAACCAGTCAGAGAAAGACAAGTACTATATGATTTCATTCATATGTGGATTTAATGAAACACTGAACATTTTCATGATTTTTTTCTGGGTGCTTGTTTCTCTATTTTGTTAAATATAATTGAGTCTCCAGCATACAGTATGTTTAATCTGCCTGGTGATGTTTTTATTTTGTATTTTTTTTAATTTATTTATTTTTGTTACAGATGTTTCTCCTTTTCCCCCCACTGATTCCTCCTCCCCCTCGCTCCCTGCCCCGTCCCCAGCTTTGTTGTACATGCCCATTGTTCATGCATACATGCATATAAGTTCTGTGGTTTATATCTCCCCCACCACCCCATCTTCTGGGGATTGTCAATCTGTACCCCACTTCCATGTCTCTAGGACTACCCCATTCCTCAGACTGTTATGTTCATTATATTCCACCAATAAGTGAGATCATATGATACTTGTTTTTCTCTGTTTGGCTTGTTTCACTTAAGATGATACTTTCCAGGTCCCTCCATGTAGTCTCAAAGGATAAGAGATCTTTCTTTCTTACAGCTGCGTAGTAATCCATTGTGTATATGTACCACCGCTTTTTTATCCATTTGTCTACTGATGGACACTTGGGCTGTGTCCAGATCTTAGCTATTGTAAATAGTTCTGCTACAAACATGGGGGTACATATATTCTTTCTGATCGGTGATTCAGGCTTCTTAGGGTATATTCCTAGAAGTGGGATCACTGGGTCAAATGGCAGTTCAATTTTTAATTTTTTGAGGTAACACCATATTGTTTTCCATAGCGGCTGCACCAGTCTGCATTCCCACCAGCAGAGTACTAGAGTCCCCTTTTCTCCACACCCTCGCCAACACTTGTTGTTTGATGATTTGTTGATGGTGGCCATTCTGACAGGTGTGAGGTGATACCTCATTGTTGTTTTAATTTGCATCTCTTTGATGATTAGTGATGTTGAGCATTTCTTCATATGTCTCTTAGCCATTTGTATGTCCTGTTTGGAGAGGTGTCTATTTAGTTCCTCTGCCCATTTTTTAATTGAGTTCTTTGTCTTCCTTTTGTTGCATTGTATGACCACTCTATATATATTGGAAACTAACCCCTTATCTGATATATCATTGGCAATGATGCTCTCCCATACAGTGGGTAGCCTTTCCGTTTTGATGATTGTATCTTTCACTGTGCAGAAGCTTTTGAGTTTGATGTAGTCCCATGTGTTCATTTTCTTCCTTGTTTCTATTGCCTTAGGTGATGTGTCAGTAAAAATTCTGTTGCATATGATGTCTGAAATTCTGTTGCCTTCAGTTTTTTCTAGGATTTTTATGGATTCATGAGTCACATTTAAGTCTTTTCTCCATTTTGAGTTTATTCTTGTGTAGGGTGTAAGTTGATGGTCTAGTTTCATTTTTTTGCATGTAAATGTGCAATTTTCCCAACATCATTTATTAAAGAGGCTGTCCTTACTCCAGTGTATGCTCTTGCCACCTTTGTCAAATATTAATTGAGCATATTGCCTTGGGTCCATTTCTGGGTTTTCTGTTCTGTTCCACAGGTCTATATGCCTGTTCTTGTGCCAGTACCAGGCTGTTTTGATTTCAGTGGCTTTGTAGTATAACCTGAAATCTGGTAATGTGATCCCTCCAACTTTGTTCTTCTTTTTCAAGATTGCTGTGGTTATTCGAGGTCTTTTTTGGTTCTGTATGAACTTTTGAAGTATTTGTTCTAATTCTGTGAAGTATGTCATTGGTATTTTGATGGGGATTGCATTGAATCTATAGATTGCTTTGGGTAGTATGGACATTTTAATGATGTTAATTCTTCCAGTCCATGAACATAGTATGTGCTTCCACTTTTTTATATCTTCCTCTATTTCTTTTTTCAATCACCTGTAGTTTTCTGCAAATAGGTCCTTTATTTCTTTGATTAAGTTTATTCCTAGGTATCTTAATTTTTTTGCCGCAATGGTAAATGGGATTGTTTTCTTAGTTTCTCTTTCTGTGAGTTCATCATTGGTGTATAAGAATGCTGTCAATTTTTTGACGTTAATTTTGTATCCTGCTACTTTTCCAAATTCATTTATTAAGTCTAGTAGATTTTTGATGGAGTCTTTGGGGTTTTCTACATATAGTATCATGTCATCTGCGAATAATGCCAGTTTCACTTCCTCCTTTCCAATTTGGATCCCTTTTATTTTTTCTTCCTGTCTGATTGCTGTGGTGCCTGGTGATGTTTTTAAACTTAAAACATCTGTAAAGGTGCTCATTTACATATGTATGTTTACCAGTCTCCATTAGAACTCCTTTCTCCAGAATCCCAAAGCCAGATTCTGATCCTGGCTTTTCCATTAACTTAGTATTTTTGCCCTGTCTGTGGAGAGCTACTCATAATGGTCCCTCTCAGCCTTATTAGAGAGCAAGCCTCCAGGGGTAGAATAAAGGAGACTTCAGATTCAAGATATCATCTAGGAGGAAGAATTAATAGTTGATGGAGAATGGGCAATCGGAAAAAGAAGAAAAATAGAGCCAACATGTCTAATTTGATCAAAGCATTTTCCCATTTCAGGTGCCTGTCTCTTCTTCCTATTAGCAAAATAAGTGAATTGAGATTATCTCAAAGGGCCTCTGCCATTTCTAACATTCTAGGAATTGAGGACTCTTCAGAAAGAAGAAAGAGTTTGAAAGGTCTGGAAAATGCAAAGGTAAGATGAATTTGGGCTTTTGCTGGAAAGGAAACTCAGGAATTTTGAAGAAGAGTAACCTTTCAAGCCTTTACTCCTATAAACTCATTCACACCTTCTTCATCCCCTAACAGATCAGAATATTTTCAAGCCATCCAAAGCCATCTTCCTTGGGCCTCGGTGTGGCACAAAAATAATTTCACTTATCCAAAGTAAGAGTGAGCCCTGGAGTGGCACATAGACATGGCTGGAGAGCCTGGCTAATTTTGCAGGAAGAATATTAAGCCTAGGATTTGGCTTTGGGACCAAGGGTAGAAAGGTCTTCCTATTCAGAAGTTCTCTCATCCCAGGCCTCACTAAAGGCACTTGTTTCTGTTGTTCCTTTCATCTCTATTAACTATTGTTTCTAATTTACTAACAACTCTCCCAGATCAAAATAGTATCCCAGGTAGATGGGCAAAAATGAGAATCCAGACTTCTGTGGGGACCAGCTTTATGTCAAATGTTTGTTAAACCCAGTGCCAGGATGAAATTACTAAGTTATCAAGGAGACTTGTTTTGCTTAGAGAATTTTTTTTTTCCAAATATGAATGGAATTTACAGAAGTAAAATAAAGTTTAATGGGAAATGCATGGAATTGACAAATTTTCCTTACTAATACTATTGCCATGTACTGCCTAGAAAAAATATATATCCCAGGAACTTCAAAGAGAAATTAGTGCTGCATATGAAATGTTAGACATAGATAGAACCTGAAGAAACATTCTAGTCAACTTTCTTAATGAAAGACAGAGGGAAGGAGAGGGAGAAGGCAGAGAGGGAGAAAAAGAGGGAAAAAGGGGGAAAGAGGGAGGGAGAGATGGAGAGGGATGGACAGAGAAAGAAAATAAGAAATCTAGCCACAGAGAGAGGGAGTGATTAGACCAAATTTAAATAGCAAGTTACTGAAAGAACCTAGACTAGAAGGTCCTGTGTTTCAATTTTTTGGCTAAAACTGTCACAGTACATCCCCACCTCACTTCCACCAGAGTTTGCAGGAATCCTCACAGAATATCAGAGTTGGAAGTGCTTATAGGTACAGATCATGGACCCCACCACCACCACCCCAAAGCAAGAACTCTATCTGTGGAATCTTTATGTGTCCAAGGGGTCAGAGCTGGAAGTGCTTATAGGTACAGCTCATGGACTTCTCCCCCCACACCACCCCAAAACAAGAGCTCTATCAATGGAATCTCTATGTGTCCAAGGGGCTATATGGCCAAGTCCACCTTCCGCCTATATAAAAACTGCTCTGCCTGGGCAGCATCCTTATTTCTTTCCTGTTGTTCCAGAAAGACTGTCCTCAGCTTTTTACTCTAATCTGCTTACAGCTAAGACAATGCAAATAACAAAAACATGGAGTGTACATTGAGGAGGGAGAAGACAAATGTGTTTTGAAAATTTCCAAAGTACTTTCCACATGACTTTTCTTTTCTCTTTACCAGCCCCACCCCTCACCCAGCCTCTTGCCCAAAAAAGCCTCTCAGCCTAGGGCCAGCTGGTAAGGCACTTACCGGGGTTGTCGGGCTGCATGATGGCCATGGCAAAAGTGTGAGGAAAGAGCATGGCTGTACTCTTTCTCATGCCTTGAAGCTGCACATTATTGCCCTGGAACATGACACTGTGCACGTCAGTCTCTGTACCCAGGCCAAGCAGATGCCAGGCCACTGTGTCACCCTTGCACATGTCCAGCCTGGGCAGGTTAGAGAATAGAAACCCGTTAATGGCTGGAAAACAAAAACACAAGACAGGATGGGGAGATGAAACCAGACTACTTGGGCACTGGCCAGAAGCATGGCATTAGTTCTATGCTATGGTTTCCTACAACTTTACATTTATGAGTCATCCTCAACTCCTCTACCTTCTTCCTTAAGCCAGTTTAGTTCTACTTATGAAGATCTGCCCCTTTAGGATGAGGCCCCAACCAGCCTTTTTGGCCTCACCTACTGTCCCCTCTCTATCACACTTCACATCCTTCAAATCACATCTGTTTCACACATACACAAAAGTACCAACCTCTCCTATTCCCACACTCCTGAAACTCTTCTCCCTTGGCTTCTGTAGCACCACATTTTCCTGGTTCTCTTACAACCTCTTTGATTGCTCCTCGTCTATCTTTTCCTCATTCTCCATCCCTCTGCAAAGTTTTGTGATTCCCCAAGGTTCCATACTCAGTTTTCAAACTGTCTGCTCCTCTTCATCCTGACTGCCACTGTTCTGGCTCTAACCCTCATTACCTCTGGCCTGAACTCCTGCAAAAGCCTCCTTCATGGTACCCCTACCTGCAGTCTATCCCCCCATGCTCTCTCACACAAACACACACCATTATTCTGTGAGCTCTATTTGCCTCTTCATGCCCAAAGCCTTAAACAACATAGGTGCTTATAATACACTTGTTGACTTCACATGCTGTTACCTCTGCCTGTGATATACTTTCCCTCTGGTCTCTTTTTACAGCAAACTGCTACTCATCCATCCATCATGCTCTAATTCAAATGTCACCTCCTTAGTCAAGCAGAATTATTATTCTATCTTTGGATTCTATGAAACTTTTCCCCTCAAAATTCTTCCATATCACTTACCACAGAATCCAGTGATTTGCATATAGATCTATCTCCCACACTAAAATTACCTAAGAGGAAGGACATTATTTTTTCTGTATCTGTGTGGCTGCCTAAGCACCTGACATGTCATCTAATACTAATCAAGTTCTCCATAAATTCAAACTAAAATGAATTTGGTTTTTAGGACTGTCTTATTTTTTCAGCTGATGTAACTGACCATTAATGAGAACCAAGAGATGGAGCCAAAGACAAGATACTTGTTCTTGACTCCCTTGCAATTTCTATACTCCCCTCAAAAATACAGGGAGGCCTACTTGAAACCATCCCCTTTTTAATGTTCCCACATCTACTGGAACTAGCTCAAGCACCACCTTCTTCCAGAAATCCTTTAATTGGGTTGTTCTTCATTAATATTCTCCTCCTTTGAACTCTAGGTCACTTAAAATCTGTTCTACACAATTTAGCATTTAATTATAGTATGCCTTGGATTGTTCTATAATTGTTTCATGGGTATTATTAGTCTCAGCTCATTGAAAATGCTGGGAACTCCTTGCAAGCTGGGGCCATGCCTTTCCATTCATTCACTCACCTGCCTGCCTACTCATTAATTGATAGTTCACTAGTTCATATACATTTACTATGTATTAGTGTAGAGGATACAGAGATAAGCAACAAATAATACTTACAGTTTTGCAACAGCATGGATAGATCGGGAGATTATTACGCTAAGTGAAATAATCCAGTCAGAGAAAGACAAAGACCGTATGATCTCACTAATATGTGGAATCTAACGAACAACATAAACTGACTGAACAAAATAGAACCTGAGGCATGGATACATGGAACAGACTGACAAATGTCAGTGGGGAGGGGAAGGGGTTACTGCATAAAGAATGTGAGGGTATTAGCTAAAGAACATATATACATAGCCCATGGACACAGACAACAGTGTGGTGAGGGCCAAAGTGGGGGGGGGGGGCGGGGTTGAGAGCTGGGTGGAGGTGGGCAAAGGGAGGGAGGGTGGACACCTGCAATAGTGTCAAAAATTTAAAAATAAAGCAATTAAATAATTACAGAAGCATATGTAGCTATCATGTAATAAACATTTAATAAAATATATTTAATGACAAAAATACAGTTAAGGAGATTACACTTTAACAGAAGTCAAAAGCAATGTAATAATTAACTAAAATATTGGGGAATATATAAAACTTCCTTTTAAAATAGTCTGATAAATATGGAATAGTAGTTCAGAAGAGGGTGTTAACATCCTGGGCTTGGGTGATAAAAAAGAAAAAACATGTTACATGGAGGAGTTAGCTTTTGAGTAGGGCCTTAGAGAATAGGAAAAAAATTCCTCCAGGCTGTGGACAAAGATATAAAGAAGTGGATTTCAAGTGGAGGGTAAGACACTGCAAAAGCATCAAGTTAGAAAAGTATGACATAAGTCCACATAAAGAAAAATAGCCCTATTGGACTGAAATATGGAGTTGTGGAGCAAAGGCAGTGGGCAATAAGGGAGAAGGGGAGAAGCCTGGAAAGGTGTCATCCCAGCTTACTCTTCTCAGCCTATAGTGAATTCTTTGTGTGCAATTCTCATTTCACAGTACCTTTATCCAGTACACCTTGATAGTGTTTAATACGGAAACAGCACAGAAAGTGCTAAGTATAAGCTCTATTGTCAAGTTTAATCCCTCAGTCCAGCTCATCTCTTGGGCATAGCTGACCAGTGAAATCAGTGTTTTCAGAAATGGGTTATAATTGAGTTAAGGCTAGATTTCACTTATAACCTTTCATTTGTAGCTCAGGACAAAAACCATGCACTCCTCATACCATGCATCCGATTGGAGTCTTGGAAACCTATGACATCCTCTGAGAGTAGTCGGGAATCCAACATAGCAGTTGCTTGATTGGTATTGCTGTACCAGCTCTTGTTCTCATCCAACACAGTAAAAAGGAGAAAGAATTCTTTATCCACCCCTTTCTGTAGGCCCAGTGGGAGAGAAGAGAGGGAGAAATGACAACAGTTTCAGCAGTTATAGACTCTGATGCTTCAGATCCAATAATCACTGATTCTTTCTCATTTCCTTTTCCAGACACAGAGCCAAGCTCCTATCTCCTGCCTAGATCTGCAGTTGTTGTTAGGCAGTTTTTCCTCAGGTAACCTCAAATCACAGGTAGGTGAAGGAAGCCAGAATAAAGTGACAAGACTGGAGGAGTGGAATATAGGAAAGGGAGCAAGGAAGAAGCACAAGATGTGGATTGTGGATAAAAGGTACAAATTGAGAGAGAAGACAGCCTAGAGTCACCTGGCGAGGACTGGAGTAAGGTGTCTAGAAGATCAGGGGAGTACTCTGGGGGCAGTTAGAAAATAAGAAAAAAATAATTATAATTAATATACTATTAATTATTATGATCACTGCCAACATTTACTGAGGGCTTACTATGTACTAGACACTGTCAAGAATTTTATATGGATTATTTTAATTAGTTCTTGCAGGAACCCAAGATACATTCTTCCATTGTTAACCCTTTACTATAGATGAGGAATCTGAAGCAAAGAGAGGTTAAGTAACTTGCCCAAGGTTACACAGCTAGAAATGGTGGGCTAGATATGAAAGAAGACAAGTAAGGGTTAGGAGCTACTGGGGCTAAAAAAGAAAATAAAGGAAAAAAGACTAAGGATGATGTGTGTTTGTGGGTGAAATAATTACATGTAAGATAGCATGAAGTCACCAAATATTAATGTCTGATTCAATCGCTTGGTTATTTTTTTCTATTCTTTCACTTCTAGAACCCAGTTCTGTGCTTAAGTCCTATCTAGTGACCCAGCCTCATCCTCCTACCAGAAATCCAGACAATACCTGTTTGCTATCTGCATCCAAGGCACCAGCCTTGCACACCAGCAGGGGGCCCACCAGACCAGAATTTGTATCTTTTTTTGGATCCACAGCAGAAAAATACATCCAAGTGAGACAGGCAGGATCCTGAGCAGTGGGGCCTGCGTGGGGGGGTACTGTCCAGAGATATGTTACTTTCTCAAAGGGCTTGGCCACCAAGCCAGAGTGGGATAAGCCTGCAGAGAAAACATGGAACTCATTACTCACATTGGCTAGAATATAGATGATCAGCTTCAAACAGTGGGGTAAAGATCATAAACTACAAAGGCATTTTGGAGCAGTAGCAGGAACAGCAGGAACATGAAATTTTGAATATTTAAAAGAATCCTGGGTAGGAGTCAAGACACTAAAGTTTAGTTCCTAGTTCTGCCACACCTTGTTATGTGAACAGGAGAAATTTAAACTTCTCCAAACTTTTCCAAACTCACAAGACCTAAGGAATAAAAGGCTGTTGAAAACTTATTTGGAATACCCTTCACTTGAAAACATACATTTATCTGCTCTTATATCCCTACCTCTGCTTAAAAATGTCCAGAGTTGGGGGATTCATTACCTGTCATCACAGCCTGTTTCACCTTAGAACAGTTCTGATTGTTTAACACTTTTTCCTTTCTATATGTATGTATGTACATGTGGATGGATGGATGGATGCTATGTATGTATGTATGTATATATACATATATATATAAGAAGAACAGTATAGTGGAGAACAACTAGAAGAATTTTGATTTAAAAATAATTTCAAACATTTTTCTTCATATTATCAATGCTGTGGTATAGTCTTAGAATATCAAAGGGTTGAAGACTGTGTATTTTTGTTTACTTTTGTTCAACCCGTTTGTATGGTGTCATGTAACATTTTAATATTCAGCACTCATCAAGGGTGTTTTAGATATGATACTGTTCCTCAAGTGAAGTGGGGATATTTTGTACAACAGCCATGCATAATAAAAAGTGTACCATCCTTGGGAACTAAGAATGTCTCACATGAAGTTTAAGACACAGGCATTCAGGTACCTAACTTTTCTGATTCGAGCCAAAACCCAGGGGCAGAAGGAGAGGGAAATGAAGTACCACTGCTAAACGGATATTAAGTTTTGATTGTGTAAACTGAGTAAGTTCAAGAGGCCTGCTGAACAACATTATGTCTGTAGTTGACAATACTGTATTGTGCACTGAGGTTTTGGTAATAGGGTAAATTTCATGGTGTGTGTGTGTGTATGTGTGTGTGTGTGTGTGTCACCACAATAAAACAAAAATGTAAAAAAAAAGTGTACTGTGTGGAAAAAGAAAAAAGAAAAACAGTATGAAAATTCCTCAAAAAATAAAAAATATAACTACCATATGACCCAGCAATTTTATTTCTAGGCATTTATCCAAAGAAATTATAAACACTAATTTGAAAAGATATATGAACCCCTATGTTCATTACAGTATTATTTACAATAAACAAGATATGGAAGCAACCTAACTGCCCATTACTAGAAAATTGAATAAAGAAGATATGGTACATATATACAATGAAATATAACTTGGTCATAAAAATTGAAATCTTACCATTTGCAACACCATGGATGGACCTAGAGGGTATTATGCTGAATGAAATAAGTCAGACAAAGACAAGTATGATATGATTTCACTTATATGAGGAATCTAAAGAAAAAATCAACAAACAAAACAGAAACAGACTCATAGATGCAGAGAATAGACTGATGGTTGCAAGATAGGAGGGAGTTGGGGGGATGGAAGAAAAAGGTGAAAGAATTAAGAAATACAAATTGGTAGTTACAAAACGGTCATGAGAATGTGAAGTACAGCATAGGGAATATAGTCAATAATATTTAATAACTATGTATGGTGCCAGGTGGGTACTAGAATTAAATCATAAATATCTAAATCTCTAATAATTATGCTGTACACCTGAAACTAATATAAAATAATACTGAATGTCAACTGTAATAGAAAAGAAACACTAAGACTAATTTCTTAAATGGACACATCATGGTCAAGCAATGCACAGAAATTTTATTTTAAATGTTCAAATCTACTAGTAATCAGAGAATTACAAAAAACAGATAAATTTTTGCCTGTTAAATTAGCAAGATTTTACAAATTAAAATAATCAGTTCAGCCCTGGCCAAGTGGCTCAGTTGGTTGAAGTGTTGCCCCGTGCAATAAAAGTTTGCTGGTTCAATTCATAGTCAGGGCACATACTTGGGTTATGGATTCAATCTGTGGTTGGGGTGTGTACAGGAGGCAATTGATCAATGTCTCTCACTCTCATTCTTGCTCTTTCTGCCTTCCTCTCTCTAAAATCAACAAAAACATATCCATGAGCGAGGAATAATCGTCATCATCATCATCATCATTATCATCATAGGCATCAGTTCAGATAGCTCTTACCTCTCTCACTCACCTATAAAAAGGGTAAATGAGAATTGCCCTTCTGGGAGAAAAAAAGTTGCTAAATTGTGTCAAAAGCCTTAAAAAAAAATTCATGGCCACAAAAACTGTAAGATTTGCAAAAATATTAAAAAGAATGTACAATCTAATGCAAATAAAAACAGCCATGAGTCTTGTTTGCCTACAAGACTGACATTTTGACAAAGGTTAAAATGGCTGCTCTGTGCTGGTGAGGATGTAAAAATAATGGGTCTTCTATCTCAGCCACTGTTATGGAATTCAAAATTGATGGGACTGAAAAGTTTTTCAGAAAGCATTTTGAATATAGGTACCAAAATTTTTATATGTGTATCATCAGGCACAGAAATACCACATCATAAAAATATATCCTGAAGAAATAATAATATAAATGTGCAAAGAAACATACACAAGGATATTTTTAGTATAACCTATAACAGGGTGGTATAATTTAGGATGGTATTAACTTATCTTTTCTTACTCATTGTTCCCAACTCTTTAAATTGTCAAACATACAGAAAAATGTAAAGGTTCGTACAATGATCACCCTGCCACCTGGAGTTGAACTTAGTATTTCATAATCTTTAATTCCTCTATATTTATGTTTATGTATATCTACACACATATACATACACTCACAATTTTTGTTTGTCTGCTTTTGTTAAATCATTTGTAAGTAAAATGCAAGCATCATGACATTTTATTTCTAAATGATGAGTAAGCATCTGCTGTTTTACCATAATAACATTCCACACCTGAAAAATACCTTAATATCACTAATATCATTTAATGTCCAGTCTATAACAAAAAATTTACAATTATCTCCAAAATGTCCCTTAAGGCTACTTTTTTATAAACAGGATCAGACAAGGTTTGCATGTTGCCCTTGGTGGTGTCTCTTTAATTTTTTTCCCTATGGCATTGCCTTCCTAAAGGGACTAGACCAATTGCCTTGTAGGATGTTCTTGTAGTCTAAATTTGTCTGCAACGTTACCCTTTTTGAATTTATTATTTTTTAATATTTTTGGCCTGGGATTAGCATGTGTTAATATTATTTCAGAGAAAGCAAGAAATTAATTACCAAATAATCTCACTTCTAAGATTCCCTTCTGAAATAGTAATATAAACCATATGTATGTATTCATTTAATGCATTCAATGATTTACAATGTTCTAAAATACTAAAAAAAATCATAAAATACATAAAAAATTACATGTACAAATAATAGGGGATAAGGTAAATAAGTTATGGCAAACCCATATAATAAAGTATTATATAGTCATTAAAATATATATAGCATTATTATGGAATGGGAAAATGGACAAAATATAATGGTAAGTGAAAATAAATTGACACAAAACTGCACAAAACATATGATCACAAATCTATAAATATATACATTTTTGTAAGCACAGAAAAATATTTAAAGGTATATCAAAATGTAATAGCCATTTATCTATGAATTATTTATTCTATAACTTTTCACAATTCTATAATACATACACCAGTTTCATAATCAGAAAATATTTAAAACATGTCTCTCATTGAGTCCAGCTCTGCTTGCTATAATATGTATTCATTCAACTAGGTCCACACATGGCTATTAATTCTGTCTCCTTCTCCCTCCTTCACTCCTTGTTTATTTTTCCTATAGTGGTACCTACTATTACTTGTAGCCCACATTAGTTGGAGACCCTGCCTGCTTACCATCATTGTATACAGTTCCCTCGTAGTCCTTCTCATAAAAGACCCCATGAGGCTGCATACTGAATGGGTGGGAGGCACGGTTGTAGAAGACCACCTGGATGGTGTCGCCCACCTCGGCCCGGATCACTGGCCCTGTTAAATGGGAATAAGAGACAATGGAAATCAAAACAGGTATGACAAGGGAGAATGGAAACATTAAAAAAGGGAGGGAAAGAAAAAAGATTTGAAAAAGACGGAGAACTCACTTTGCAATAATAAGAATAAATCCTTCCAAATATATTGAAATTTATAGTTATAAAAAGCACATTAAAATCCATTATCTCAACTTGATCCTTAAATATAATTCTCAGGGCAGGGGTATCTTCATTTTATAGATGAGGAAACTATAGCTAAGAAAGGTAGAATTGACCTCAAATTTAAATGACTGGTTAGGAAAAGAGACTATATCTAAAGTTATGGCTTTCTCCCACCCCACTGTCAAGTCCAGTTCCACTTCCCCTGCCTTTATTGCCTGTTTCCACAGTTGCACTTCCTTGTAAAACCATCTTAATATCTGAGCTTGCCTCATCTGTAAATAAAATTTGAGTATACAATATTATTATATCCTCTATCAAGAATAAATTATAAAGAAAAATAAAATCTGAATAGACCTGCAATTAGTAAGGGCATTGAATCAGTAGTCAAAAATCTTCCAAAATAGAAAAATCCCTGGATTTGATGGCTTCACTTGTAATTTTTACTAAACATTTAAAAACCTAATATAAATGTTTTTCAAACTCTTCCAAAAAATTGAAGAGGAGGGAATACTTTTCAATTTAGTTCGCCAAGCCAACATTACCATGTCATCAAAGCCAGACAAAAACACTACAAGAGAAAAAAACAATAACTATACACCAATATCCCTTAAAACATTGATGCTGCCCAGCCAGTGTGGCTCAGTGGACTGAGTGCCATTCCATGGACCAAGAGGTCCTGGTTCAATTCCCTATCAGGGCACATGCCTGGGTTGTGGGCTCAATCCCCAGTAGGGAGCATGCAGGAGACAGCCGAATGATGTTTCTCTTTGTCTTATTAAAGGAAGAAATTATGTAACATGCTACAACCTAAGTGATATTTGAGGCCACAAGCTACTCACAAGAAAACAAATGTTGTATAATTCCACTTATATGAGATACTTAGAGTAGTCAAAAACAAAGACACAGAAAGTATAATGGTGGTTCCCAGGACCTAGGGGAGGGGAGAATGGATAGTTATTGTTTAATGGGTATTAAATTTCAGTTTTACAAGATGAAAGAGTTGGGATAGATGGTGGTGAAGGTTACACAACATTATGAATGCATTTAATACCACTGAACTGTACATTTAAATGGTTGCTATGGTAAATTTTATTGTGTGCATATTTTACCACAATAAAAAAGTGAAGAAAAAAGACTGAAGACCCATACTGAACACAGCTAATGAGAACTCCTTAATATTCACTGTCCATCCTCTTTTCCAAGGTATGTTTCTGTTCCATATATCTCCCTTTTTATTTTATATAAGGCCTACTGTGCATGCTCAGATCTCCTAAAATCAACTGGTGCACATCTAACCCCAGAATATAGTTTATCAATTTTATTTCCAAAGTTTTCTCCCATCTGATATATTTTATTTTCTGGCTTAATTAAGTGACTAAACCATACTCAACACTGTTATACTGTTTTAATATAATAATAATAATATACTGTGCTTTAGGACTTCTGGATACTTTCTCCAAGTCAGGTTCTAAGCTTTGTTTTGCATCCCTCACTATAGCAAGTATGTCTGCATGCCATGTCAATCTGCTCCTGTCCCCATATTACCAGGAACCTGGACAGTCTTACTGCTTTATATATAGCCCTTCAGAAATACACCTAGGAAAACACTTTAAAAAGTGTGATCTGAACAACAATACTATGAGAAGGTGTTTACTGAAAAAAGTTCTGTAGTAAAGTATAAGAAATGCTACATATTCTATTTCCATCTTGGAGGTTCATGATAAAAATAAATCCAAGGTTCTGAGAAACTCTGCAACCAAGAACAATATTTGATTATGTTTTACTTGACTATGTTTAACTTAGTATTTCGCAGACACATTCAGACCCACAACGCTTCTGCACAAAACACTCATCTGTTGGTACTCACTTTGGGAGATGCTGGTCTAGAATGTGTCTCAGAACTTCCCCCAGGCTCCAGTTTCTAAGTCCTCCCCAGTTCTCATGGCTCTAGTCAATTAATTTCATAAGTTAAGGATTCCTCACCCAGGATTCCAAGATGCTCATCTTCCTCCATCTGTACCTTTTCCTGGAATGTTTCATCTTGGAAGGCTTCATATCGAACTTTCCAGTAAGTGCCCCCAATTCGGCTGGAGCTCTTCTGGAAGAATTTTTCTGAGCCACTGGCATATAAGAAGGCAAATATTACATGATTTAATTATGTATCAAATAGACTTCCATATCACCCTTCGTCTTTTCAAGTTATGGATCCTTATGACCAAGAAAGATCTCAGAGATCATCCAGGTAAGCTTTTACTCAGTGAAGGTGACACTACTAATAAATAATATGCAGCTTCTGCTTCAGCCTTTCCCAGGTCAGGGAACTCATTTTCAGAGAAAGCAATTCTTCTTACTCTTGGATAGTTTTAATAATTAGACTTATTTTTTATAATAGGCTGAAACTTCTTGCTTGTAAGTTCCGGATACTAGTACCAGTCCTGCCCTCTTGAGTTATGTAAACTTACATCTGTTCTTAATTATCTTAGGTACTCAAGATTTTTTCTCCCCTTAATAAAGAATATCCTTAATTCCAAAATGAAAACCCACTAACCTAGCAAACCCAGTTAGAGATTCTGGAAGTCATGGTGAGACCCAAGTGCTTATTTTCCTATGTTTTCTGCACATTCATTCCATTATTTTTTGCTGAAAAACTAAACATGATGGGTGCCTTGGGATATTGCCCCAAACTCTTCTAGTCATCTAGTCAAGTGGCTCTTCTGTAAACGACCTGGAATCACTGATAGGCCAGTGAATATGCATAATTTAAGGCCTAGCTACTGAATAGGGAACTAACCTGTTCTATCCTGCCCAATCTGATTCATGAATGAGGCAAGAGAATTTAGATAAATTCCTCCAAAATGATGGTTATGGAATAGCCATAAGGCAGGTTGTTTCCCCTTCTTCCTACATTTCTCAGAGTGCTTTTTACACTTCTGCTTAAATGCCTCATCAGACTATGAAAAAGAAAGGAAGGTGCAAGGAGGTAAATAATGGATAAAATAAAGAAGAGTTGGATAAATGACATTTCAAAAAATCTGGTCCCATTGGGTCTTCTTTTCTGAGGGTGGCTTGCAGGAACAACCTCAAACACTGCTAGAACCTTTTGCTACGGATATGCCATAATCATACAAAATGCTTTGTGGCTCCCCAGGAACAAGCTGTTCAGGGGTCAAAAGAATTTAGTTAACAGTTGTGTCATACAACTCCAGTTAGACAATTATTGTAACCCTCAAGTGAAAGTGAGAGATTTCTGAGAGGGAATAATAGTGCTTGGGGCCAAAACCAGGAGTAGGGAGAGGAAGTCTGCTACCTCTTACCTGCCTGGCTCTCTCAGATTCTTCCCAGTACTTCCATCATGACCCGTTGGGCCATAGTCCCATTGAATCTCATGAGCCTCAATGAAGTACTGCCGAACTTTTCCTGTTAGTAGGTTCATGGGAGGGGCCATGGAGCAAGACTTGATATTGTAGAGTGCTTGCATGCCACCTGGAGGAAAAACATCATGACTGGTTCTACCCAGGACTTCTACCCAGACAACCCACCTTCTTCCTTCTCTTAAGGTCTCCCCCTCCCACCTTCCACTAGGCTCCTTACCCCTACCTCCATATGAGCCATTTTCTCTCACTCCTCAAGAGACTGGCTGGAAGAGAAGGAGCCCAGATGGGAATTAAAGTACCTCCACCTGCTCACCACCACTGCCTTGTTTACCAGGTATTCATTTCTTTGCAAAAGATTTACATTGTACAAATATCACAGAGCTTGAAGTTCAAATACCTAAGAACAAGTCCAAGCCTTATCACTATCTGTAGGACCTTAGGTAAGTCAATTCCTAGATCTAAAATTTAACCCCTGTTCTGTAAATGGGGAGAATAGGAAATCTGCCACACTGGGCTAGTGGAAGCATGAAATTAAAAAAAAAAAAAAAAGAAAGTAATTTGTAAAGAGGGAATCTCCCCAAATAATGGACCATCTCCTTTACATGGAGATGGAGGTTCATATTTAGGACTGGCAGGAAAATGTAGATTCTAAGTTGTGTCTCCAAAATGTGAAAAATGTTACATTGAGGTATAGTGGTAATTGATGATATTGCCTTATTTTTGCTTGGCATCTTATAGAGATCATTCAGATCATTATCTCATTTGAGTCTCACAAAATTCCAAGAAAATCTGAAATTATAAATTAGAAATCTGAGATACAAAAAAGGATGACAAAAGGTCTCAACATTCTCCTAGTCTTTAAGATTCAAAATCACATTATCTGAAGCACTAGACCAAATGGATTTAATAGCTATCTACAGAGAATTACACCCCAAAACTACAGAACACACATTCTTCTCAAGTGCACATGGGACATTCTCAAAGATACACCACATGATAGGACACAAACTAAATCTCTACAAGTTCAAGAAGATTGAAATCATATCAAGCATCTTCTCAGATCACAATGGCATGAAACTAGAAATCAATTGCATCAAGAACTTGCAAAGACATTTCAACACATTGAGGCTAAATAGCATGTTATTAAACAATGAATGGGTCACCGAGGAGATCAAGGAAGAAATTAAAAACTTCCTGGAAACCAATGAAAATGAACACACAACAACACAAAATCTATGGGATGCAGCGAAAGCAGTTCTGAGAGGGAAGTTCATAGCACTACAGGCCTACCTCAAAAAACAAGAAAAATTTCTAATTGACTGTCTAACCTCACAACTTAAAGAATTAGAAAGCAAACAAAAAGAAAACCCCAGAGCAAGTAGAAGGAAGGAAATAGTAAAGATCAGAGCAGAAATAAATGACATAGAGACCAAAAAACAATTCAAAGGATCAATGAAACAAAGAGCTGGTTTTTCGAAAAGATAAACAAGATTGATGGACCCTTAGCTAGACTCACCAAGAAACAAAGAGAGAGAACCCAAATACACAAAATCAGAAATGAAAGAGGAGAAGTAACAACCAACACCACGGAAATACAAAAGATCATTAACAACTACTATGAACAACTATATGGCAACAAATTCGACAATCTAAGTGAAATGGACAAATTTCTAGAAACATACAGTCTCCCGAAAATATTCCCGGAAGAGATAGAAAACTTGAACAGACCAATAACAACTAAGGAAATTGAAGAGGTAATCAAGACTCTCCCAGCAAACAAAAGCCCAGGCCCAGATGGTTTCACGGGGGAGTTTTACCGAACATTCAAAAAAGAACTAACACCCATTCTCCTCAAACTATTTCAAAACATTCAAGAAGAAGGAAGACTTCCAAACACGTTCTATGAGGCCAGCATAATTCTAATTCCAAAACCAGAAAAAGACACTACGAAGAAAGAAAACTACAGGCCAATATCCCTGATGAAAATAGACGCCAAAATCCTGAACAAAATATTAGCAAATCAGATCCAGCAATACATCAAAAAAATTATTCACCATGACCAAGTGGGATTCATTCCAGGGATGCAAGGCTGGTACAATATTCGCAAATCAATAAACGTGATACACCACATAAACAAAATGAAGAATAAAAACCACATGATCATATCAATAGATGCTGAAAAAGCATTCGACAAAACCCAGCATCCATTTCTGATAAAAACGCTCAGCAATGTAAGAATAGAGGGATCATATCTTGACATAATAAAGGCCATATATGAAAGACCTACAGCCAACATCATACTCAATAGACAGAAACTAAAAACATTTCCATTAAGAACAGGAACAAGACAGGGTTGTCCACTTTCGCCACTCTTATTTAACATTGTACTGGAAGTCTTAGCCACAGCAATCAGACATGAAGAAAAAATAAAAGGGATACAAATTGGAAAGGAGGAAGTGAAACTGTCATTATTCACAGATGACATGATATTATAGGTAGAAAACCCCCAAAGACTCCATCAAAAATCTACTAGACTAAATAAATGAATTTGGCAAAGTAGCAGGATACAAAATTAACGTCAAGAAATCGACGGCATTCTTGTACACCAATGATGAAGTCACAGAAAGAGAAACTGAAAAAACAATCCCATTTACCATTGCGCCAAAAAAATTAAGATACCTAGGAATAAACTTAACCAAAGAAGTAAAGGACCTATTTGCAGAAAACTACAGGTCATTGAAAAAAGAAATAGAGGAAGATATAAAAAAGTGGAAGCACATACCCTGTTCATGGATTGGAAGAATTAACATCATTAAAATGTCCATACTACCCAAAGCAATCTATAGATTCAATGCAATCCCCATCAAAATACCAACGACATATTTCATAGAACTAGAACAAATACTTCAAAAGTTCATATGGAACCAAAAAAGACCCCGAATAGCCACAGCAATCTTGAAAAAAAGAACAAAGTAGGTGGGATCACAATACCAGATATCAAGTTATACTACAAAGCGACTGTAACCAAAACAGCCTGGTACTGGCACAAGAACAGGCATATAGACCAGTGGAACAGAACTGAAAACCCAGAAATGGACCTAAGGCAATATGCTCAATTCATATTTGACAAAGGTGGCAAGAGCATACAGTGGAGTAAAGACAGCATCTTTAATAAATGGTGTTGGGAAAATTGGACAGCTACATGAAAAAAAAAATGAAACTAGACCATCAACTTACACCCTACACAAGAATAAACTCAAAATGGATAAAAGACTTAAATGTGACCCGTGAATCCATAAAAATTCTAGAAGAAAATGTAGGCAACAAAATTTCGGACATCATACGGAGCAGAATTTTCACTGATACATCACCTAAGGCAACAGAAATAAAGGAGAAAATGAACACATGGGACTACATCGAACTAAAAAGCTTCTGCACAGCAAAAGAAACAATCATCAAAATGGAAAGGCAACCCACTGTATGGGAGAATATCATTGCCAATGATGTATCAGATAAGGGGTTAATTTCCAATATATAGAGCGTGCTCATACAACTCCACAAATGGAAGACAAAGAACCCAATTAAAAAATGGGCAGAGGAGCTGAATAGACACCTCTCCAAACAGGACATACAAATGGCCAAAAGACATATGAAGAAATGCTCAACATCACTAATCATCAGAGAGATGCAAATTAAAACAACAATGAGGTATCACCTCACACCTGTCAGAATGGCCGCCATCAACAAATCATCAAACAACAAGTGTTGGCGAGGGTGTGGAGAAAAGGGGACTCTACTACACTGCTGGTGGGAATGCAGACTGGTGCAGCCACTATGGAAAACAATATGGTGTTACCTCAAAAAATTAAAAATTGAACTTCCATTTGACCCAGTGATCCCACTGCTGGGAATATACCCTAAGAAGCCTGAAACACCAATCAGGAAGAATATATGTACCCCCATGTTCATAGCAGCACTATTTAAATAGCTAAGATCTGGAAACAGCCCAAGTGTCCACCAGTAGATGAATGGATAAAAAAGCGGTGGTACATATACACAATGGAGTACTATGCAGCGGTAAGAAAGAAAGATCTCTTATCCTTTGAGACGACATGGAGGGACCTGGAAAGTATTATCCTAAGTGAAAGAAGCCAAGCAGAAAAAGACAAATACCACATGATCTCACTTATATACGGAATATAATGAACATAACAATCTGAGGAATACAGTAGACCCAGACACATGGAAGTAGGGCACAGACTGACATCCCTCAGAAGAGGGGATGGGGGGTGAGGGGGTGGGAAGAGATAGGCCACAGAACTTATATGCATGTATGCATGACCAATGGACATGTACAACTAAGCCGGGGACGGGGCAGAGGTGGGGTGGGGTGGGGGGTGCCAATGGGGTAAAAAGGTAAAATATCTGTAACAAAAAAAATAAATAAAAAATTCATTAAAAAAAAAACAAAAAACAAAATCACATTATCTCTCTAAAACCCCATTGCAACTTTATGAGGTAGGAATCATTACTGCAATAATCAGATAAGGAAACAGTCTCAGAGAAGTGACATTACTTACCAAAGCTAACTAAGCAAATGGTGGAACAGGATTTGAATCCAGGCTTTTCTGGCTCTAAGGACCCTGCTTGTTCTACTATTATGCTGCATCCCTAACCTCCATCTCGATTCATACTCATTTATCCAGATGCTTTTTGGACCAAGGCCAGAACCTGCATGATGGAGCAAAGGTAACTGGCCCCTATTAAAAAAAAAAAAAAAAAACCCTACCATCCCAGACTCATTATCTTACTAGTCTATAACTTCTCACTTACTCAAACCCATTTTCATATACTCACATATCACTTTCCTGACATCCATTTAATTTACCATATACCCATATACCAAATAATTCTAGAAAGTGAGAGCTGAATAATCTCTCGTTTTATACATGTGGCAAATGGGGCCTAGAAAAGGAAAGGGACTTTTCCAAAGTTATTACATAGAGCTGAGACAAACTCTGAAACCATCTAATCATTTGTCTACTACTCTTTCCATTGCCTCATATGTTCCTCCTCTCCTCTGATGCTCCTCAATGCATTATTCCATTACTTCAACCATTCTCCCTCTGAAAACCAAACCTTCTATCCCTATTTCTGTTGGGTCCCAACTAAAGAGTGTCATCACTTGTCCACAATATTACATGATCTCCTGTAGAAACATTATGCTTTTAAAACCAATATTTCATTTACTTCCTGTTCAATCATCTGCAAGACCTCCAGGTCCTAATTCCTTAGGACTCTGAGAAAAAAAAATGACAGCTTAAAAGGTCATTTAACAATCCCTATACCATCTTATGTTACAGATGAAGAAGATGAAAGCCAGAGAGATGTACCTGAGGTAACCTTGAAAGTTAATAGCTGAGCCAGGAAAGAATGGGGTTCCCCAGAATTCTAGTCTTGTGGTTCATTCTTTATTCCTAGCTGCCTCACCTGAAAGACCTATCTTATGGCTCCAGACCAGAATCCCAGGCTCCTGATGATCATATTGCCACCTTCATCCCATACTTCAAGGGTCAGAGATGCTGGATCTTACCTTGCAAGTGACTATTAACTTGACAGCTTATTAACCAGGTGCCAAGTTTCTGGGGCACCATCTCAGCAGTCACAAAGGTGGCTGGAAACATGTGAGCCACATCAGTGCGGTGGCCCCGGATGGTCAGCATCTGTCCATGGAAGTAAGCTGTGTGGACATCTACTTCGTTGCCCATGCCAAACAAGTGCCAGGCCACACGCTTCTGTGTACACATGTTCAACTCTGGTAAGTTCCCAAATACAAAGCCATTGATTGCTGAAAAAGAAAATCCAAAGAAAATGTCAAAGTTAGATAAGGACAGTCCAATGCCTTACCATCTAACAATAATATTAAGTGACATTCACATGTTTTATTTTTTATTAAATTTACTGGAGTGACATTGGATAATAGGGTCATATAGGTTTCAAATGTACATTACTATAATACATGATCTGTATACTGCATTGTGTGCCCAACACTCAAAGTCAAATCATCTTCCGTCACCATGTATTTGGCCCCATTTACCCTTTACTCCCACCTCAACTCTCTTCCCTCTGGTAACCATTATACTGTTGTCTATCTGGGTCTCTGATTTTCACATAATGAGTGAAATTATATGGTTCTTAGCTTTTTCTGACTGATTTACTTTGCTTAGTTTAATATTCTCAAGGTCCACCCATATTGTCACAAATGGCAGTATTTCATCTTTTCTTATGGCTGAGAAATATTCATAGCACATATAGATGAGGTTTTAAAGAGCACACTATGCTGACAATATATATTATATCATTTAAATCTCACAAACACCCCTAGGAAATAGGTAGATATCGATCATCTCATGCAAAAAGTGAGAAAACCAAGGCTCAAAGAGGTGAAGTTACTTTCTCCCAAGGCCACAGAGCGATTAAATGGCAGAGCCAAGATTCCAACCCAGCAATCCGAAGAAGCTTTTTAAGGAATTTGGTTTATTTTGTAAGCTATTCTTTTCTTCCAGGCCAATTTCCTTCTAAAATTTCCATAGGACAATTGTCAAGTTAGCTGACTAATTACCACAGTTATTACAAACAATTGATATAAAACCCAAGTTACCCAAGCCATCCCTTACACCTTCCCTCTGAGTTTTCACTTCCCCATGGGACAGTCTGGCTTTGAGCCCACCTTTGTAACTAAAGTAAGTAGCCACTCCCTTAATTAAACAAAAGCCAAAGTAACTTGTTTCACTTCCTAAAAATCACTTCTCTGCCCATACCTCAGGGCTTTTGTGCCTTTAATTAGTTTTAAATTTAATTAAGATGATGGATTCACCATAGGTAACTATTTTTCTTCACTAAGCGGGTAATTCTTACAGCTCACATTCTTTATAGAACAAAGACAGGTTATTTTATATTAGTGGACAGCCTCACCAAAGTGACTAAACATATAGTATATGAGTTTGAAATCAACACCCTGGGCTATTCCACACTCAGGAGGCAAGGTACCCAATGGCAAGAGCGCAATATGCAGTCAGACAGATTAGAGTTGGAATTTTAGCTGTGCTGTTTATCTGCTGTGTAATCCTTAGTTTCCTCATAGGTAAAAACAAGGTAAAGTTACTTACTGCTTCTGGTCCTTCTAAGGATTAAAAAGAATCGGGGCCTGGCCGGTTTGGCTCAGCGGTTAGAGCATTGGCCTGCGGTCCAGAGAGACCCGGGTTCGGTTCCCGCTAAGGGCATGTACCTCGGTTGCAGTTTGTCCCCGGCCCTGGTTGGTCGTGTGGGTGGCAGCCACTCGATGTGTCCCTTTCACATCGATGTTTCTCTCTCTCTTCCTCCCACTCTATCTCAACAAAATGTTGAAAAATGTCCTCGGGTGAGGATTAAAAAAAAAAAAAAAAAAGAACCGGGTATGTGAAAGCACCCAACAAATGGTAGGCCCAGTGTAGACCTTTCATCAGTGTCTACTATCACAGTGTGGCCATTCTTTCCCAGCTCACCATGCATTCTATTGCTCTCTTGAAAGGCCTCATCTTCTTTGTCCACTGAAGCAGGGTCTGAGCAGTAAGTGACGATGTTCTCGTTGATATGCCAGCTAAGATTCTCATCTACCACACTGAAGAGCAGGAAGAAGGAATTGTCCACGTCTTGCCGCCGAGGAGGGGAGTTCCCATCCAGGGTTCCTAATACAAGTAAGAAAGTGTCCTTGAGAACCTCCCATCCTTAGTAACAAGGGGTACTCATAAGAAAGAAATAGCAAGAGACGTAGTCTTAAAAGTCTGTCAGCAATAGAAAAGCAGATGGAGAGTTATTCAACCAGGGCCTCAAACTCATCACACTCTTGCAGCACCTAGGTCTTTAGGCCTGATTCTACCTTAAACATACCCTCTTTCCAACCACATAGACAATCCTTTCCAAATCTTGATGGCTACACTTTCAAATTTAAACTCTTACCACATACCTTACTTTTATATGACCAAACTCCCATCATTACTAATTCAAGTTTTTTAAGTGATTAGAGAAAAATTTAAAAACTAAAAAAGGATTTTTTGTTAGGAAAAGAATGTAATAAAATAGAAAAAAAAATGAAGTTTGGCATTGTTTATTCCTGCTGATAAATGATGGTTCTGAATGATCACTCCTTAGGCTGTTGCTTTATATGTAGGTGGTTCATCTAGATTACTACTTCCTATCGATATCCAAATCTGCATCTCATAGCTCACTCTTGGGGCCTGTACCTCTTTTACAGGTGATAAGCGGTCCAATGAGGCCAGTTGCAATATCTCGTGGAGCATCTACATGAGAATGGTAGATCCAGGTGAGGCATGCTGGGTCAGCATCAGTGGGTGCATGGCTTTCTGGAATGGTCCAGTTGTAGATATGGTTGCCTCCCGGGGGAACAGAGTCATCAGCTTTCAGCTGACCAGAGGAGCCATCTGGGTATAGGGAGCCTAGAAAATGACATTGCACATGCATAGTCCCAGGATGTGTGAGATGGAGCCTGGCAGGTATAGAAGCGAAGAGAAGGCTGACATATAATATACCAAGATCCAGTCTTGTGGAAAAAGTAAAGTTCTAAGGTCCAGCACAGTGTTCCTCACAACCTGAAGAGGGCACAGATTCAGGTAATATGAAGCCAAAGGACCCCAGATCTCACATCAACAGAGGGTGGAGAGGTTGCAGCCATTGGGGAAAGAGCTGTGGCCACAAAAACTGCTCCACCGCCTGATCCAGTAGTGCCCTCATGCAAAGTCAGTGGCTTGGAAACATAGGAGAAGATAGATTTCCTCCCTTTGAGCACTCAGTTTGGAAAACTATCACAGAGTTTTATTTTAAAGGCAACTTGATGATCAGTTTGTGCACTTCCCCATTTTATGGAAGAGAAAACAGGAAAAGTAACTTTCCAGTGGCCAAGGCAGGACATTCTGACTTCCCTCCCTATTCTCCTCACTCATTGTTGTGTCTGTATTAAAGGCTGTTGAGCCTGGGATATGAAAGACACAAATAAGTAAACTGAACTCCCTCTTAAGAACAAAAAATGAACATTTTGGAAGACTCTAGAATAATATTCCCTTATATTCAGAGCACACTCTTCTCTTTTCAAAGCACAAATATTTTATGAAAACATAATTTTAATTCTTTGTGATAAAAGGTAGATTTTTAAATTTTGAAAAAAAATTGCCATTACAGTTGAAATTCAGTGTTATACTAGTTCCAGTTACATAGCCTAGTGGTTTGAAATTTATATAACTTACAAAGTGATTCCTCCTTCCCCTAATATTTCCAGTACCCACCTGATACCATACATAGTTATTACAATATCATTGACTATATTCCATATAATGTGCTTTACATCCTTGTGACTATTTTGTAACTGCCAACTTGTACTTCTTAATCCCTTCACCTTTTTCACCCAGTCCCCCAACCTCCTTCCATCTGGCAACCATCAGTTTGTTCTCTGTATCTAGCATAGGAAAACAAAACAAAACAGAAACAAACTCATAAAGGGCAGATTGAATCTCCATATTTCTAATGAAGAATCTGAGGAGAGGGACAATGACTTGCTCAGTCACACATATGAATAGCAGAACCCAGTCATGTTTTCTCTGAGAAGAGCCCCTGCTACCTCAGATCAATAAGGAAGAAAAGACTGCTCCTCCCTTTCATATGGCAGAGAAGGAAAAGTGATAGTTATTATGGACAGGAGACAGAAAGGGTGAGCTGATTTACCTTCTGAGTCCTTCTCATAGAAAACACCATGGGGGTGGATAGTATAGGGACGAGTGGCAAAATTCTTCAGGTGAATAAGGATGACATCTCCCACCTCAGCCTGCAACACTGGCCCCAGGAAGCCCAACCAGGCAGGCTGGGCCATTTCATGCATGTATGAGCCATCACTGTATTCTTTGTAGATAGTCTTCTTGTAGCTGCTTCCTATCCGGTTCTTGTCAGACTTTAGGAAGCTGGAAGCTACTCTGCAAGGAAAGAGTCACAATTTTGCCACAATTTTCAAACCTCTGGAGAGTTAATTTCCAGATGCTGACAAAAAAGTGTCCATCTTTGTTTAGGGCAAAACAAGAGGAAATGGGATGTACTGAACAAAATATGAAAGCTTTAAGCTGGTTTAATTGTTTGACAATGGAAAGTAGTAAGTGAATGCATATGAAATTGCTGATATTTGACCACTTTTAAGCTACAAAAAAAAAGGCAATTTCACATGGTTCAGTATAATATATACTAATGAGGAAACAATCATGGACTGGTTCTTTTTAAGTGATCACTCCCTACCTCTGTTGCCTGATGTAGCATCACTTTGCAATATGTGAGAGGTTTTATAGCATAGTAGTTAAGTTCTCAAGTTCTAGAGCTGGAATGGCTCAAATAAATGTTGATATTGCCACTTCCAAATCTGTGGGACTTTGAGCAAGTTACTTAACTTCCCTGTGCACAATTTCCCTATCTGCAAAATGTACCAAACTTGGACAGGTGTTGCTGATGACCAAAATAATTAAAATATATAAAGAGCTTAGGACAGTGCCTGGAAAATAGTAAAAACTTAATAAATATTAACTATTACTTCAAAATATTGGTGATGGAAGATAAAAAAGTTATCCCTCAAGGACAATTTTAAAACAAAGACTCTGTGACTTCAAAACTAGATGGATAGAAAAATGGCTTGTCAAAACAGACAACTGTTCTTCTTACTCTAATTCATCCTAGAGAGCTCTGAGATGTTAAAGTCAACTTTGGAAAATTCTGAGTCTTTGGAGAAACAAAGTGATTCATGATCAGAAAAGATTCTTTAATATATTAATTCATTTTGATAAACAGATATTTGTGGAGCATCTGCAAGATTCTAAAATCAAGAAGGGTTAATCATGTGGGATCTGTGAGAGGCAAAGTGGAGAGAAGAGTACCAGTTTTGCATCTACATTACCAGGTTCAAATCCTATCTCTTCCATTTACTAGCTGTGGGCCTTGAGCAAGTTATTTGATGTCCCTGGCCCTCAGTTTTCTCATCTAAAAGATGAAGATATTTAGACCTACCTCCTAGAACTTTTTGTAAGAATTAGGTGAGACTAAGTATGTAAATTTCTAGTATAATCCCTGTCCCAGGCAGAGTATTACATAAGTGATAGCTATTACTGTTCTTTCTTTGATTCTAAGACTTACCTTATTTTTTGGACATTTTTACATATCTGAAATTAGTATAGTTCTATTGAACTATGGAAGATTAGTTCTACCATACACAATGTTACAAACATTGTATATACTTCATGTTTCTTTCTTTTATTAAAGCTAAATAACTGTTATTAAAACAATATTGTGGAGCCCTGGCCGGTTTGGCTCAGCGGTTAGAGCGTCGGCCTGCGGTACAGAGAGACCTGGGTTCGGTTCCTGCTAAGGGCACGTACCTCGGTTGCAGTTTGTCCCCGGCCCTGGTTGGTCGTGCGGGTGGCAACCACTCGATGTGTCCCTTCACATCGATGTTTCTCTCTCTCTCTCTCTTCCTCTCTCTCCCTCCCGCTCTGTCTGAACAAAAAATGTCCTCGGGTGAGGATAAAAAAAACAAACAAACAAAAAAAACAATATTGTGGATACCATCTGAGTATCAAGGGAATATGGAAATACCATTAGAACCCTAAAAATGCTGAGGAAAAGCATACTCCATATGGAATGCTGGCTCTTGAGTCAACCAGCCCTATTCTCAGCAAACATGCCACTAGGTGTATGGTCCAGAGTGATCAGGAGCTGCTGCTACCACACCCTGATAAAAGGTGTTCAAGAGGCTACCCTATGACTCTCAAGGGTTTCCCCTCCCCAACACAAACTCTAATTTTACAAGAGATTAAACCTACGTGTCACTGTCCAGAGGCTGATTCGTGATGACATTCCTTCCCTTGGGAGCATAGTTCCACTGCACGTCCTGGATGCCCAGGTAGTAGACTCGAGTGGCCCCTTCAGTCAGCTGGGGCCACAAGGATTGCATCAAGAGCAGAGCCCAGAGGAAATGGCCTGGCTCCATGGCCCACTTTACTCTGGGAAACAGGCAAATGAATAGCTGCTGGTATGAAAGAGAGAAAACAAAGGGACTTTGCATGTGTCTGGAAAACTAAAGAGGCAAGAGCCAGACAAAGTAACTAAGAAAACAAGAAAGAATTACCCCAGAATCTATAGCTTACCTGATTACTTTCAGTTCAACAAGTATTCAATGATCTCTACACATTGGACTTTGGAGGGCAAAGTTAAACAGTCACTCATACTGATAATTATGCATCACTTCCTTCAGAAGAGAAATCTGGATCCAGTTCCTTCAGCCATATAGAAGGAAGAATTACTCTGGCTCAAGAATCAGGAAACAGGCACCAAAACACTGATTGTACCACTGATCAAAAGACATTTACTAGAATGTTAACAGACCCAAAATGGAAATAGCCAAAATGTCCAAGAACACTAGAATGAATGAGTAAATTGTATTTTATTCATACAACGGAATTTTATATAACAATGATAATGAACAAACTACAATTACACATGAAAATATAGATGCCTCTCATGAGCATAATGTTGCAGAAATAAATCAGATACAAAGAATACATATTCTATTATTTGATTTATATAAAGTATAAAATCAAACAAAACTAATCTATGCTGCTAGAAGCCAAGATAGCATTTGCCCTTGAGATAGGGGTCAGTGACTGGGAAGGGAAGAGGAGGAATGCTTCTAGGTAATGTTCTGTTTCTTGATCTACATACTGATTACATGAGGACCTTCAGTTTGTGAAAATATACTGAGCTATGAACTTAGCATTTGTGTGCCTTTCTGCATGTCAATAGCAAAAAGTAAAAAATAAAACAAAACAAATGAGAATATATGAGGGAAATATTAACTTATAAAAAATGTTCTCTGCTGGTTCTCTGCTATGCACAAATTCATTTCACGGGTCCAACCCTGAGTCAGAGTCAGAACTAAGCCTCCAGCCTCTCATTCCAGTACACCAGCCAGGAGGTTAGACTTCTGGGGGTTGGGATAAAGCATTCAGTCATACAGTACAGAGCTACAGTCAAACTTAGAAACACAGACAACATAACATAAACACACATATATACGTGCAGTTGCATACACAAAGGTACATGCAATCTTATCTAAAAACAGAGCTGTACACACTTGCGTCCGCATATAGAACTACACTGTCACACAGAGCCTTTGTCACTTTCAGAATAATAACAATAATAATAGTAATAGTAAATCAACATTTATTGTATGTGCATAGCATGCCAGACCCTTTTATAAGTGTTTTACATAGATTAAATCACTTAATCTTCACAGCCACACTGTGAGGAAGATGTCATTATAATCCCCATATTACAGAAGGAAAAATGGCAGAACAGAAGTGTAAAGGTATTTGCCCAAGGTCACCTAGTTAACAAACAGTAGAGTTGGGTTGTGAGTCCAGGAAGTATGGCTCTAGTGTCTATGTTCTTCATTACCATGCCATACTACCATCCACAAAACATACCTGCACACTCACATGAATATACACAGAAAACATGTATTATCCATAATTATAACTATATCTAGGAGAACCCTATATACTCTGAAACATGCAGTCACATGTAGTTGTGATCACTTCTAGAAACAAACACATATGCTCATATAGACATAGATATATCTAATCAATATCATTCATAATGATGATAACAATGGTGGTAGTTACCATTCATTGAGAGATTACTATATACTAAACACAATGTTCAATGGTTTATATAAATTGTTTTACTAAATCCTTGTCCTAAGCACTTGAGATCGGGACAATTAATCAAAAATAGAAATGTCAAAGATATGCACAGACTTACATATAAATAGGAAATCCCCAGGTATTCACCTTAGCTAGGCCTAGATATTGACCTTAATTAATAAACAGACCTATAGAATTCCCTACAAAATCTCAAGCCCCTTTACACACAGCAGTAGTACAGGTGTTAAATCTTCAATCTCCATATGACATTTGTCATGAAAGCTCTTGATATAGGGGAGAACCTGTTCTTGGGTTCCTCTTTCCAAAACTTGGATCTCCCACCGACCACTTGTGTAGACTTAGGTAATACTTAACCACTCTGAACCTGTTTTGTTATCTGTAAAGTATGTATAATAATATCACTCTTGAAGAAATAAATTAGAAAACTTATATAAAAGGGACACGATTCAATTAATGCTTAGAACATAACAGACAGTAATTGCTGTTGTCTTTCATCTCCCTTTTCCCTCCTGGCTATTGTCTCCCACATATACAACATTCTATATTTCTACTCTAAAGGCTAACTTAAATCTTAATTGCCCCAGAAGGTCCCCTCTAGCCTTTTCATACCACTTTCTTCTGAAGGAATACTTATTCTCTATACAACCTCATTTCATTAAATCAGATTTTGTATTATTTTTACTTTCTGCCACATGAACAGTCTTTATTTTCCAGACTGAACTATAAACTCCTTGAGGATGGGTGTCATGTGTGAGAAATCTTGTTGCCTCTATTGCCAGACAGGGTGATGGGGGCCCTATAGGTATACCATAAACAAGTACTGCTAAAGTGACATGAAGTGACACAAACATATTTTCCCACCAATCAGTTCTAGTTCAAGTTTGCCACTGGTTCACAGAGTTACTTTAAGAAAATTATTTTACCTTAGTGAGCCTCAGTTTACCCATATATTAAATAATGGAGCTGGACTATATAGTTCTTACCTTTTTGAGGTCATGGATGTTTGAGGACATAATGAAATGCAAAAACATGGAACCACAAAAATGTTTTATAGAAAGAGTTTTCAAATAGTCTTTCTAGTTCTCATACTTCATCAGAACTGCCACTCCCTGGTGAAACACAGGTGCATTCACATGCACCTATATATAGTACCACATATGGTCAAACAAATAGCCATGCCTTGGAACCTTCAATATGGAGCGAGCGTCCTTTGTTCAATGGAAGTCTGAATGCAACATGGACCTCCTTCAAGCTTCTTTCTCAGGGATGTGCCAGCAAGGCTGTTGTGCCTTAAACTCATTTACCTAAAGTGATAACTGTCCCAAGTAAGAATCTCACAATTGGAGATGCACATGGTAAGCTTGGAAATATTCCCAGAAGAAACTGGTACTCATAGATAAAGAATCCTACTTCGCGGAAATTCATTTATCGCTATAGAGTCTGGAACTGATTAACCATGATAAACGAGGGCCGACTGTACATATCTTCAGCATACAATGAATAAGCATTCAAAGGCCGTGACTAATGACCAAAAGAACTAGACAATAGAGCCTGTGAAAAAAGTGCTACCTAGCAGTTGCCTATTACATTCCACTTTACACTATGTTTTTCATATCTGCAATCTTATTTAATTCTCAAACTTTTGTGAGATAAGGATTGTCTTCCCCATTTTGCATTTAGGGCACAGGCTTTGGAATCAGACTACCTAAACAAATCCTGACTGTACTTTTCCTAGCTGTGTGATTTCGTAAATTACTTCACTTTTCTAGCCATAGGGTTTTCATCTTTGAAATGGAATTAATGCTATTAGTTACACCTCAGGTAATGCAAGGATTAAATGAATTTAAATCTATATGTGGTCAAGTGCACAAGTAAATGATCAAAAAGTATTAGTGACTGTTATTATTACAGATGACAAAAATAGGTTTAGAAATGAAACTTGCCAGGATGCCAAAGCTTTAACATTTTATGTATAGCCACAACATGTGCACACTCAAAAGTTCCTATGTACAGTAATGCATATTAAGCATACAGGCACATGTATATGGCTGAGATTAGTCTCTTTGGAAGCAATATGGTATAATGAAAGGAACCAGAACGTTTGAATCAGATTAAGTTAATTTGGAGTACTGTTTTCAGTTGTGTTTGAAAGGAAGCTTTAGTAGGCACCTGGTAAATATTAGTTTTCTTTCCTTCTAATTACTGGTTTTTTTTTTTCTTTCCAATGCTGCATTTGCTGTTACTATTGTTGCTGTTTAAAAATTTTGATTTTATCATAAATTATTAAAACAGAAGAAAGATAAAACCCATAAATTTCCTTTATAATCATTTAGATATTTCATGATAAAATTGAAAGACTTCAGATCCTAGGAAAATAGATTCTAGTTCTGGATGCATCATTTATTAGTTGATTGACATTGAGCAAGTCACCTAATTTCCTGAGCCTTAGTGTCCTCATCTCGTAAATGATGATTATCTCTGCTTTGGGCTCCACATTAGTTTACTATGAAGATCAAATTAGATGAAGCATGTGAAAGCCCTATGTAAACTTTCTCTCAGCTGAGTCCACAAGAGGAAGTCTTAGAGAAAGGCCAGATTAAGGAGGACAAACAAAAGGGAAAGGTAAAAAGATAAATGAAATAGGTAAGGTGAGCCATAATCCTGGAACAAAGTAAAAACAGAGAGGGGAAAAAGAAGAGGGCAGAAAAAAAGAGGAAGAGGGAGAGGGAGAATGAGGGAGGAGGGGAGAGAGGAGAGAGAGAGAGAGAGAGAGAGAGAGAGAGAGAGAGAGAGAGAGAGAGAGAATATGAATGAATTTCTGCTCTACTTGGAATTAGACACAGTAGTTAATATACCCTGAGATTAGCCCAGGGAGAAGGTAAGCCAACAAAAAAGCAAGCCTCCCCTACCTTTACCTTACCTTCCTGTCATCCCAACATCACCTAGGCTTGGTCACCATCATCCATGACAATTTGCATCACTGTTTTTCCTATAATTTGCAAGTTATTCCTTTAATGTGATAATGGTCTTTTCTCTCCCCTCCACCTCCCTTTCTGAATTGGGTTAGACTGAGATGGACAGGCTCATACTAAACAAAGTATCTTTCAACTGAACACAGGAATGGTGAGCTATGTTTTGGGCCCTGTCTCTAATCTCAACATAATAAAACTTTCCATCCATTTTGGTCCTCTGCTTTATTAATGCTTTTTTTGGCTCTTTCTTCACATTGTGACTCAAAATATGTTCCAAGTGGGGAGTTTTTCACCTTTGTTGGATATAGTCTTTTCTTTACTAGGAGGAAAATTAGTGTTAAAAGCCACATGGGGTTCCAGATAATACAAGTAAAATTTATATCATTGTTTAATCGGTATTACTGCAACCTAACAGTCAGAGGTGAAGCAATTGAGACCTAGAGAGAAACAGACTCACCTGAAATCCTGAAAGTTAGTGCTGGAACATAAGACTCCTGACCCTCCAGCCTGGCAATTATGTCCAGCATATCATCACCATACCATTCTGGGACAATGTAATTTCACTACTGGTTTTCCACTTGTATTAATGAGGCTGCTTTATTTCCACACACTCCAGTTGAAGCATACTAATTTGAAATCAGAAGACCTAAATTCAAATCCTATCTCTTGCCTGTAATAGCCATGTGATCTCTGAAAAAGTCACTTTCATCTATTTGAGCCTAAAATGAGGATGATATTTATCTCACAGGATTGTTTTGAGGCTCAAAAAAATGGATATTTGAAACCCAAGCAAAGAGTTGAATGCAATAGATGTTCAGTAAAAAGTTGAAAGCATCATCAATCCATACATCCATACAGACCTTTAGAAATTATTATTTTTTTCAACCCCTTGATGTGAAGTACAAAAAACTGTGGCCAGAGAGGTAAAGGGGTTTACTCAAAGTCAAGCAGCCAGTTACTGACAAAGTCAGAATTTGAACCCATGTTTTCAAACATATTTCTGCTATTTAGACACTAAGTGTGAGAAATAATTTAGACTTTAAGCTAATAGCTTAGTTCACCTATCATTTATTTGCTTACTCATGCCAATTTGGATCTTAAAATATAAAACCAAATGGCTGTTTTTAAGTGTCTGAACCTCTTATTTATGTAGTCCTCAGATACATCACCTGAACAAACCCTTCAACCTGTGAGATGGAAGATCAGCACATTATTTCAACAGAAAATTAACTGCTCTCTACAACTGCAAGATTTTCTCTGAAGCAGTCAAGCCAGTTTGGTCCTGGACATTTTGGAAAGAGGAACAAAAGAAGCCTATTGTTCACTTTAAATTCCATGTACACCCAGCCAAGCTTACTCTAACTTTTCAGCAACTGAATTTCTCTCCCAGTGGCCCAGGACTCCACTAAACCCAGATGAATAAAGGATTTTACAAAGAAAGGACGGTGAGGTGGGCCTTGGAAAGAGAGGAAAGAAAGCTTACCTTTGCTACAGAAAACCCTTCTATATTCATGTCAGCAGCCTAGGGATGCTGAACTGCAGACCCCAGCGTGAGTCTGCCAGCTCTGTTCAGTCAATATCCTGGGTTACAGGGCCTTTCTCATAAATTAAGTCCAGGGCTCCAATCTGGCGAGTGCTACTGGGGTGGGGTGAATGGAGGAGGGGGTAATGCTGGGTGCTGTCCTTTTCAGAAACTAAACTATTGGAATGTCTTGTTCCGGTCTGGTTTGGTACAAAACCCGGGACGGTTCTTTGACCACATCCGGGTGTTTTCCAAATCCTGGTTAGGATCTCAGGAGGAATTACAAGGGGGTGGGCTGCATTTCTGTTATCGCAGCTTCCTAGTGGGCCCTTGCTGAGAGGGGGAGGAGAATGCACTGTCAGTATGGCCAGTCAAGCTCACAGACGGATTCCAACAGCCCAGTTTATGAAATGGGGTCCTTTGTAACTGTTATTAGATTTAAGAAGAGCCCCCCCACACACATCAATATTTTCCTTTTTGCTGTGAAGCAATTATCAGCCCTGCCTGTTATCCTGAGGCCATGGTTGCTTGGTAATAACAAATAAATAAAACAAAGAACTTTCTACATACCAGGCCCTATGTTAACCACTTTACATGCATTCTCTAATTTAAGTCTCCCAATGCCCTGTGAAATGGACTCTAATTCTCTTTATTTTACAACCGAAAAAAAAAAAAAAGAAAGAAAGAAACAGGCTTTAAAAGAGAAGGTAACTTGTTCAAGGTCACACAATTTGCAGGTAAAAGAGGGAATTTTACTGGGTCTGTCTAGACTCAGCCACCACACCACCACACTGTACTGCTTAGGAGAGAAATAGGGAGCCCTTTGGAGATAAAGGAAGTGACTTCACAATAAGTGAGTGCCTGTCACTGCTAGATTTTTCTAATGAGTATTACTTCTGCTTCTGCCAACTCTAGCAGCTCCTAGAGTGAAACCTCAGGGTTGTATTACTAACAGTTTCCATAGAGAAGACCGTATACAACTACAAGATAGCCTGGACTAGTATAGGTCAGCATCCTAAAAACAAAGAAGATCCAAATGATAAATTGGAAGTATTATTTTTTTTAAAAAAAAATAGCAAACTGAAACACAAAAGCAAAATGAGCCCTAAAATGTCCTTGTTTCTGCTGTCAAGTGACCTAGGTTCAAGTGCCAGCTTGCTCTGGCAGCAATCAGCTACCTTAACTTGACCCAAGCTCTTCTCTTCTTGGGCCACAGTCATTCTGGTTTTTCAAGGGCCTTGAGCTAACTACAGACCCTCCCAGCTCTATAAATTTACATATCTAGCCTCCCATTAAGAAGGCACATTCTTGATATTAAGACTGGAAGAGAAAGAGACTCCAAAGATACAAAGTATAAGGAAAGAATGAGTACAGAGTAAATAGTAGAGAAAAGATGGAGAACTTCATACCTCTTTAGAAAGAACTACATCTACCCACCAGACCCACTTATAGAAAAGAGACAGGTATAATGGTGGTTCTACCACCTAGTATCCTTACTTTATGATGAGGAGATCGTGGCTTGTAGGAGATGCTGTTCTCTAGGCAGGCTCAATACATTTTTCTTTCCTGGATTTAAAGTGTCTGGGGCAGGGTCCAGGGAGGAGGACTTTCAAAGACTGAGCTGGTGGGGCAAAGTCTGGGTCATAAACCACTGGAGGTGGTTAAAGGTTCCTAGACATTTAGGAGCTGCCCCACAAACTGCACCCCAGGCCAAGCCGAGTAAAAGCATCAATAGGGAGAAGGGAAAAGCCACCAGCCTCAGCTGTCTCAGAAATACTCAGTGATTAAGGGAAGCTAGATCAAGACACAGCAGCTGCTGGGGTTATCTGCCTCTTCCCCCACTTGGCACATATGTGGACCTTGAAGCTAGAAGGGGAAGGAGGGAACCAAACCCATTAAGTTGAGATCCAAGTCCAGGATCTAAGGCATTTATGACAGGGAGGGGATGGGATAAGGTCTCTGCTCTGACTCATGAAAGACAACAAGGAGCAGGTCATATAGACACACTTGAGTCAACACAGTAAAAGCTGCAGGAAGCCAGCTAGACCAGGTCTCAGAGCTTGTATTATTCATTCAGCAATTCTCTGAGTGGGCACACACTGTCTTCCTCTTCTGCAAATCCTGGATATAGTTCTGGCGCCTTTCATCAAGTGTCACCTAAAAAAGAGTTTAATTTGACACCTATATTCCAGGGACTGGTAAAATACTTCAGTAAAGGGCCAGTCAATAAATATTTTATTTGCAGAACATGCAGTCTCTGCCATAACTACTAAAATAGCCCAGTGTAGCATGTTGGTCATATCTATGTACCAATAAGAGCTGATTTACAAAAACAAGCAGCAGGCCAAATTTGACCCATGATCTGTAGTTTGAAAACCACCACTATAGAATGTTTTGCAATACAGACATTTGCAATATGGAAATGTTATTTAAGCGCATGGAAACTACATTCAGACATTCTAGATTAAAATACCAACTCTGTCATTTTCTGATTCTGTGACCTCGGAAAATTCATTCAATCCTTCTAAACTTCAGTTTTGCCTCTATAAAATGGGGATAATTATAGTACCTATTTCATAAGGCTGTTATGAAGAATGAAATAAAAGTGTGTATATGAACTATTTAGCACAGTGATTAGCACATAGTAAGTGCCCCAAAATGAATGATCACTTTAAAATTTTCAATAGAAAAAATAAATATAAATTCTTCTTTCTTTTTGTTAGAAAATAAGTTGTATTAACTCATGGCGAAAAAGAATGTTTGTAGAATCCTGGCTTTAACTTCTAATTATGCTACTAAAGAAAATAGAGTGTCCTGGCTGGTGTAGCTTAGTTGCTCTCTACAACTAAGCATCATCCTGTACACCAAGAGGTCACTGGTTCAATTTCCAGTTCAGGCACATGTCTTGGTTGTGGGCTCGATCCCCAGTGGGGGGCGTGCAGGAGGAGGCCAATTAATGATTCTCTCTCATCAATGTTTCTCTCTTTCTCCCTCTCCCTTCCTCTCTCTCTCTCCACAAATCAATTTTAAAAGTATTTTTAAAAAACACACAAGAAAACAAAGTAATCCTGGACAAGTCAGTTTGCCTTTGTGGGACTTTGTTTCCTCCCCTGTAAAATGGAGAGGTGTTCTAGATTTCTCATTTTTCATAAATTTGGCAGAACTCCTTTTCCAAACAAAATCTTTCAGTACACACCCACTATGTATGGAAGATGAAAGCAGAGCTCTTCTGGTAAGGCTAAGAGAGAGAAAGGAAATGGGCAGGGCCAATGGGATCCAGGGACCTGTTCCTTTGTATGCCTGCCCACCAAAACAATGTGGCTAACCCTGGTGCACCAGCAAGAAACATCAATGGCACTGAAAGCACATTTGCTTGAGAAGCACAAGAACATAATGGACTTAAGAGTCAAGACAAATTCTGTCTCTAACCCCTCTCTTTATTTATTCATTTACTGAATCAATATTTTAAAGTTAATTGTGCATGGACAATCACAAGAGTACGGCTTTGGAATGGCTACAAAGATGAGAGGATCACAGGAACCTTCATGTTTGGGGCAACACTATCTAGTGTGAGAAGTGTGGGGTTTGGAGTCAGAAAGACCAGGTTTGAATCCTGGCTGGCTCTTTCTGAACTGTGTGACCTTGGGCAACCCACTTAAGCTTGCTGAGCTTCTGGTTTCTCATCTGTAAAATAGGAACAACAGTAGTTCCGTGAGTAGAATATTGTGAAAATTAAATAAGCTGCCATTTCCATTAATACTTAGGACAGTGTGCAACACCTTGGGGACCTTCAACTAATGTATCTTTCCTTCTCCTCTTTCTCACAGTGAAATTTAGTGACAGTGTCAGGTACCTAGTGAAAATAAAAAGCTGTGGGCAGGGCCCTAACATATCCAGTCTACTGGCTTTATCTCAAGACCCTTCTTAGCAGTTCTTAAAAAGAAGGCCTCTGGGAAAGGGTGGAGGGGTACAGAGAACAAGAGATTGTCGCCTAGAGACCACACCTCTGAAGCTACTACCCTCCCTTTTCATTTCCCACTACCACTTCTGACCACTAGGCTTCATCATGCTTTGCAAAGATTGATATACTCTGCTGTGATGTATGATGGTCCTGGGCTCGCTCAGAGGACACTGGTTCTTGAACTCCAGTTCTTAATTCTACTTGCTGCATACTTCCATCATCCAAGGCAGTCGGTGTCATACTTGTGCATGCACCAGAATGCCTTGGAGGGTTTGTTAAGACACTGAGTTTCTGCTTCAATAAATATGGGGTGAGGCCTGGTAATTCACAGTTATAACAAGTTCCCAGGTGATGCAGATGGTGCTCGTCTGATGAGAACACTTTGAAAACCACTGTTTAAGCCTAAGGGACTCCTAGTTTTTGAAGACTAATCCTTCAGCTCTCACCACCCTTTGTCTTCAAGTATACAGTCTTTGGCCCCAGGTCAAAAGTATATTTCTTTCAGTCTCCTGGTACATCATTTATATGGAGTCTCCCCGAGTGTCCCCCCAACACCTATTTGCCCACTTCCTTTGCCCCAAACCCTTCCTGCCATCCCGTGTGAACCTCCCTTTGCCCTCCATGCTCAGTGAACATGTCTTGTTTTTTGGCTGCCTTCCTTGAACAACTCTATGAATGGCATCAGCTCCTCCTGCCAACTCTCCTCTACACTCTCCTCTGCAGCTTCCTGATTGTGGGCTCTGGGCACAGACAATCCTGGATGAATCTTGGCTCGGTCTCTCTCTAAAGTGTGTAATCTTAGGAAAGTCACTTGACTTCTCTGAGACTCAGTTTGTCATCTGTAAAATCAGGCTGTGGAAATAAAATGGAAGAGTGTCTGTAAAAAGGCCTAGTGCAGCACCTGTTACACAGTAAGTGATCAGTAAATGCTCTTTTTCCTAACTTCCTCTACTTTCTTCACATCTACCTATCTTTACACTTAGTACTAAGGAGCTGGCAGAAAATAAGTATGGTATCACAATGTAGGAATAAAGTTTTTCACTAGTATGAAAAGGCATGGTAAATGAGAGAAAGTGATATAACATTTAAGAGAAGGGAGAGGTCATTCTCAATGGGTGAGTGTCAGGATCAGCTTCAGGAATGACTAAAGGATATCATTTTCTCTTCCACTCCCTTTTCTCGAGCCACAAACCTGAATGTCCTTCAAGATCCCTGCCTTCTTTCTT